AATGTGTCACATTATTTATTAATAATGTTATTGTTTCGTATGTTATTAATTAATACATATACCTAAAGGAACTATGTTTACTCAAGGGTAAAGTAGGTTACGTCGAAACAGAAATTTCCTCTGAAGTTAATAATGCGGTACATATTAAAGTGTTTCAAATAATTCGTTAATACATCCCATTATTATTCAACGGTTCAAAGAATAAGACGTCCAACGTGTCTATTTTGCATAATCAATATAGCTCTTAGAATGTACGACTTTTTTCAATGAAAAAGGAGGTACTGGTTGTTGTGGATAAATAATGCTTGTATTGAGAGTCTTACGACAAAGGTGTGTGTGTAATTTTTGTAAACATTGACTTAACAATGTTATGTATTTTGTTAATCATTTTTACCGGTGCGACATCTGTATTTTCAGGTGTGCAATTTATCAAACGACAGTAGCGTGGCGAGAAGCTCGGTCGGATGATTTGTTTTTGCGTGTTTGACAAATGCATGGTGTCAACTGAAGATATAGATCTCATCCAGAAGGTGTACCATTAATGCGTGTATAACTTTGACGTCGTTACATCGACCTTCTATTATTCCGGTGTAACAGGAAATATGATAATTGCCCTTATAGTTGATTAGCTGCTGGTGTTGATAATAACATGCTGTTAATATATGATAAGCCTGTACCGTGTACGTCTGCACACCATTCGGAATTAATAACGGTGGAACGATTCCTCGACAGTTTGCGGTCAGTATTTGATAGTGAAACAATTCATGAGGTGACAGATGTTTCGTAAAATAACCTGAAATATTCGCTGGAATCATTTCAACGTTCATCATTTACTTCACAACGTCCGAATAATCAGGTAGGAATCTCCCTCAATGTCAATATTTATTTTCATGATTTCTTTTCTTATCTAATATTAAGCACTTACTGCGTGTGATCAGTCAAACCATATACTTCCCTTAAATAAATCATTTTTCATTGTATAATTTTCTTTACCTACCAAAAATTCTTCTGACGATAACAACTAGAAGTCTAACAGTATAATATTAAAAGACTGTTATTAACCACAAAAGATTTTAAAAATATTAATGCCTAGTACGATTCTTGTTTCAGTTAAGATGCTTGAAATCTTTTACATGGGATTATATTTATTACTCTTTGGTAATTGCATTGGGGATTATTCTGACTGGGATACGAAATGGCAAATGGTATGTCCTGGTTTATATCCCAGGGTATTTACGAGTTACACGCCTTTGGGAAATCTTTCCAGTGGGATATACGATGGTCAGCCACATATGAGTAGCATTCAACATTGTGTTGCTGCATGCTGCAGTAAACCTAAATGCAATGTGGCTCTTATGCATAATAGTACTTGTTACCATTTGCAATGTGAAAGTTCCAAAATATGTTTACCTTTCTATAGAACAGATTTAGCTAATGAAAGTCCACCAAGTATGGTATTAGTTAAGCCTGTAAATGAAGATGAAATATGGAGTGAATTATTGAAACAAATGAATGATGACACTGGGTAAGGGTTAAATTTTTTTCTAAAAGTTTAATCTGTCTTTTAGTACATATTTGCAATGTATATTTTTAAAATCAACTTTTTAGTACCCTGCTTACGGATGGTACAGAAAGGGACCATAATCTTTTTGGTGGATCAAATGAGATAAGCTGTATTACTCAAGGAAATTGTTTGGAGAATGAAATATGTGTTAAAAGTCCAGACAAGTCTGATGTTGGTATATGTCAATGCTCTATTGGATTTAAACGCAACATAGAAGGTACATTTATGATCATTTCTCAAGTAGTTCTTCTTTTTCACATCAGCTAATGACTTTTTATCTGTTAATTGTTATCAATTTGTGGTAGGAATTTGTATCATGGATGAGAACATGGAACTTGGTGTAACTCCACAGATAAAAGCACAAATTCTGAAAGATTCTAGTGCATCAATGACACCACCAATGAAAAGATTGTTAGTTTCTGCTGTGTCAAAGGAAGTACGTTTACCAGAAAATGAAGTAACATTATCTGCCTATACTGTACCTGCAGAGCAGGAGAATGAGCATTATAATTATGCATGGAGCCTTTTAAGTCAGCCCGAAAGTCACCCTGGCACTATGACTGATCAGAATCGTATGACTGTTAAATTAACTAATCTGTCTGAGGGTTTATATACATTTAAAGTGACAGTAAATAGTCCAAATGCTTATGGTGAAGCATATGCAAATGTCAGCGTTTTACCACGTAAGTTAAATTTATTACATAGTTTTCTTACAATATCAGTAAAAAAAGGATACAGTCAGTAGTGAATTACATCATTTACAGCTAAAAGAATAAATCAAGCACCAATAGCTATAATTTCTCCTGCTTCACAAATCGTAAAGCTACCAAACACTGGAGCTGTGTTAGACGGATCATCTAGTAAAGATGACGACCGAGTTATTTCTTATCACTGGGAACTGCAGCAAGGACCTATTGGTTATCAACCTAATCTAGTCGATACACCCACACTGCAGTTAGATAATCTTATTCCAGGAAATTATACGTTTAAGTTAGCATTGTATTTTATATTGCAAATTAGATATATCTCATAATTATGTACTAACTCAATATTCTTGTTCCTTTAGATTGACTGTGGAAGACTCTGATCATATTACGAACTCTACAAGTGCTAATATAACGGTATTGAAAGTAATCGACTATCCTCCCAGCGCGAACGCAGGACAGAATATTATTATATACTTACCTCAGAATACGCTTACACTTAATGGTAACTTAAGCACAGATGACCATGGAATAGCTAGTTGGGAATGGACGAAAAGTCCTTCCGACCAGAATAAAGCGGTGGACATGCAAAACACGAGGACGCCATATTTACAATTATCTAATTTAGAGGAGGGAATGTATACGTTTGTGCTGAAAGTGACGGATGACTCTGAACAGTCCTCAACAGCTGAGGTCCATGTGTTTGTAAAACCACCAACAAATAAACCACCCAAAGGTATTAACACAATCTAGAATCCATGGTAGAGTTATCATGAATATAAATATTTCGTTTTACATTTTTTGTTATGTAGCTGATGCTGGCGAAGATACAACCATAGCTCTACCAGAAACCGGAACCGTACTCGACGGTCATAAAAGTAAAGATGACATTAAAATTGTATCATATCATTGGGAACAAGTCAGGTGAGCTTAAATTTCGATATTAATTCTCCTTCCGTAATAACATACTAAGAAAACTCCTTTAATAGTGGACCCAGCAATGCAGAATTCTCTGCGGTTAACGAATCAATTACCAATGTAACAAAACTAACAAAGGGTGACTACGAGTTTAAGTTAACTGTGATCGATGATAACGGGAATAAAGATTCTGATACCGTGAAAGTAAAAGTAACGCAAAGTATGCACGAAACATTATTCAAATCATTTGAGATATTAGTTAGTCAAGTTTTATTTAAGATGATCCTACTTTTTAGACAAGAACGCTCCGCCTAAAGCAAACGCGGGTGGTGATCAAGTTGTGATCGCACCCATTAGCGCACTTATCATAAATGGATCTCAGTCGACCGATGACTTAAGAATTAAAGAATGGATATGGACAAGGGATGCATCTAGTCTTGCTATTGGTACGATTATTCAAAATACGGACAAATCATCGGTTTTAATGGTAATAGCATTTAATTAGGTATAGGTTAGAAATAAATAGAATCTTCATATCACTTAAATTTCTTGAATTTCAGTTGACTGATATTGTCCCAGGGAGATACGTTTTTAGATTAAAAGTGGTAGATGACCAAGGTCTTAGTAGCGAAGACACTGTCTCGGTTATAGTGAAAACAGGTGAGCAAATGAGAACAGAAACAGAGTATAGATGTGCTACAATGAAATTTAAATAAACCATCATTTTTTTAGATCCACAATTATTACATTTAGTTGAACTAACATTAAACATTGGAGCAAATATGCTAACAGTATCACAAAAGAGTTCATTGGTAGTGAAGTTACAAATGTTGCTGCGAGATGAAGCATCAATCATTGTTCGAAATTTGAGAGCAGAACCTCACACTGGTAGAGCAGTGATAGTATTCTACGTTGAGAAAAAAGGAGGACAAACGACAATGCCGGGACCGGAAGTGGTTAAGCGGTTGAAAGAAAAATTGAGACAAGATTCTGGTCTTCTACAATTGTCTGTGGCGAACATCGATACTGCTGTATGTCAAAATAATTGTTCAGGTATGCACATGCATTTTATTATACACAATGCAAGTACATACTTCTTTTACTTTTTATTCGTGTTCTCCCAAAGGTCATGGGGTATGCGACCAAGAGACAAGATTATGTATGTGCGAAGCATTTTGGATGCAAAATTTAATACAAAAATATTTCGGTAATGGCGACTCCAATTGCGGTAAGTTAAAATATTAGACGACAAATGAAAATTTCTGGAAATTAAAATTATTATACCGATACAATTCTCTAGATTGGAGCATCCTTTACGTAATAATCGCATTGCTATCTCTGGTTGTCTGTTGGGTTGGTCTCATTTGGGGCCTGTTTTGCCTATGCCAAAGAATATGTACAGGGAAACGACGTTCGCTTCGCGCCAAGAAAAAACCTCCTCGTTACTCTCTGTTACAACCGGAACCAGAAGACGACAGTAGCACGTGTATGACATTTTTGTGTGCTCGTTAAACGAGAATAATTTTCCGTTGTTAACATCTATATAATTATTTTATAGTTTCAACGCATAAAATGGTACTATCCGAATCAGATACAGACTCTGACGATGTTCTGTTCGAACATCGTAAGTCGAAGAACAGCAGTCAAACAAGAAATGGTAAATCTCGGAATGGCTTTATCAAAGTGGGTTCCAAAGTGAAGACATAAGGTAACGGCCAGTCTTGGTAAACTAATGAATCCATTATACATTAAATTACAAATGAGTCCTCTTATTTTAGGAGTGTATAGAATGTAAGGTCTCGTTAAGCGACGCACATTCGTGTATGTTTGGCCAAAACGTAAAGTACTAGTCACTTACAGGGCTGTAATGTTAAGTACCTACCTAACAAGATTCCATACTTGATTTTTTGAACTGATAAAATTGCCATCTATACACATGAATTCAACTGAAACGGATGTACTTAAATACAGATACCAGATACCGAGAACACAAGCTCATTTCTATTATTGCATTTCGTTCGATTTCTTTTTTTTGTGATAATATATTATTTATCTGTATTGTACAATTGAATTCGCGGCTCTTTAATTGTGTAATCGTGTAGACGCACCGCTGTTTGTACACGCAGGCGGTTCCATAGCAGAATGATCGAACTTCGTTTGGTCACGGCCTTAGAAAGTATTGGAATTAGTATTTATATATACATATATATATATATATATATATTATATAATAGTAATCATTCCTTAACCATATATCCTTTGTATGTAATACGTGCTCTTTAATATGTATATCATCGATCTTATTTTTACACGTGTATGGATAAATAATAAAATTTGTTATCCATATAGCCGATAGAAATGTGACCGTCACCTACAAATGTTTATCTACATTTAGGTATTATAATTTAACTGAACTTTCTCCGTACATTGTTTGAATAATTATACAACCATGTAACGAATAACAAGCATGATTTAATATTCGATGCGAAACAGTTACGATTCGCTTCGCATGCGCCCGCCGAGACGTTATTTTTAACTTATTACGCTATGGCAAACGTGAAGTAGTGCAAATGGTATTCAGGCTGTCCATCGTGAAATCTTTCTGTGCTTGCTAGTAGACAGGATTCTCTTTGATTCGGTAAGTTCATTTTTGTATCGATTTTATGATAAAATGATCAATTAAAAAAAAAACAAATCTTCGTTCACGTTACTGGATACCTATCATAGATCTTGCGAAAGATACTCGTTCACTGAACACGTCGAAGAAAATCCAAGATGATTGGCTCGCCCTATTTCTAATTTATTCGTAAAAGTGTTCCTATACAGTTCCAACGGCTTAACGGTGTTTATGGATTGTGCCAAATGCTCGAAGTGTCGATTCATGAAAAGCTGTTGCGGTGAGAAAACGTCGATGGATGGCAAGAATGAAAATAACGAACTGAACGACAAAGACTGTACATTTCCAAAACGGAAAAATAAAGTTGCAGACGCTCAGTCGGTTGTCAATGTAGATCCATTGGCTTTCGCTAAGAGCCTCCGGTGAGAAATATTTTCATTTTATTCTGAAGCTACTCTTGTATGTCTGTGTCTCTTCAACGTGTACAACCATTCGAGTATTGTCAGATATTCTAAAGATAGATGCTTCTATCGTTGATTTCGTACACAGAGTTTGCGCGGTTCTGAGCAGGAAGATGAATCATTCCATGATTACAAGATTATACAACGAAATATGCAGGGAATAATGCAACGAAAATATAATTTTACATGAGAAACATTACCTTAAATAGACTATTGAACTAAACGATACATAGTAATAATTATAGTTTTTCTTTTTATGTAGTTACGATGTTTATTCAAGGGTGCCTGTGTCTTGGAGCACAAACAGGACCAATTCGATGTACCAGCCATCTTCTGAATTGTCTTATAACGTAGAGAATCAAGTAAGTAACGAATACACCGAAGAAGAAATCTTTTCTTCCCTTAAGAATGGGGAAGACGAAGATTTCCGGTGCCCTAGATGTGGTAAACGGATGCACGAGCCGAGACTTCTTCCATGCCTGCATCCTATGTGTTCACCGTGTGTTTTAGAATTACTGAGCAAACGTAAGTGATCCAAAATAGAGGATTACCATCTCCGAACGTTGAATTTATATATTTTCGTATATTACAGGTTCTTGTAATTCCCCTAAAATCATTAAGATGCAGAACACACGATCTGGAGATCAAAAGAATAATTTCCATGAAACGTGTCCTCTATGCGATTCTCGTCTACCCAGCGTTGGTTCTCCAATTCCTCCTCCACACTATCCTCTTCAGCACCGGTTGGTTATGGATGCTATACGCTGTAGACTTGCGAATAGAGTTCTATGCGACGTTTGCACGGATGAAGTGATTGTATGCATTAAAGTCCCTTTGTTTCAACCGAGATTATTTAACTGAACTGTTTTCTATGCAATGTAAAACATACTTTTTAAAGGCACTTGTCCAGTGTTCCACGTGTCTCCGGAATTTCTGTTCAGAGTGTGGGATGGAACATCAACAATTAGTCACTATGGAATTTAAACCATTAAAACATACAATAAGACCTCTCTGGGAAGCTACCAAATTGCGGCGCACCGCACTGTGTCAAAAACATTCTACACAGGCTTTGAGGTTTTATTGTATAGCATGCCAACAGGTTTATAATCATAGCTTTTTAATATTACGTGATAATTATATGTTACGTCACGTTACGTAATTGTTTCCTTAGGTATTTAAATAAACGAGCTATTCCTTTTCAGGTGACATGTAAAGAATGTATGTGGAGTACTCAACATCGAGGCCATGCTAGCGAAAATGCATCTGGAGCTGGTAAAAGGGTCGCTCTATATTTGACAACTGTACTGCAAAAGGCAAAGGCACTTTTAAACATGCTTTTGACACAGTACGATCGAAATGCATTTTTAAATGGAACCTTTGAAGAAATAAGGGATACTATCATTTCAATGGATTACCGGTACGTTATACCGATAGTATCTAGCATTTAATAAAAATTTAGACTGATGTATGCCTGGCAGTAATATTGTCAGAGCGAAATGCGAATAAGGAATGTTCTGAAACAGAATACTCGTTTAGAAAAAAGTCAAATTAGATATGAATTGTCATGTGATGTTACAATAGTAGATTGAATGATACAAGAACTGTCATTTGAGGTATACTGTAGGATATTTTACTGATATGGATATACGACGTGTTAAACCATAAGAAGCGGTATGTTTAAAGTGTATATGTAATCACATTCCATTCTACAATTTTGTATTACTATTTTGTATGCAATAAAGACTAATGTACAAAAATAACGATGTATATACATACATATATATATACATATACATATATATGTATGTATGTACATATATGTAAAAATAAAATTTATTTCAAACCAGTGGCATTAAAGTAGCAGTTGGTGCATACATTTTTGAAAGACTAAGCAACGTCCGTGTTTCAAAATTGATCCACAACAAGACCAGTGGCTGACACCTGGATGTCCAATATGACCATGCCCACAACCCTGATATCCACCTTTAATGAAATTTTAAGACATTTAATTAAATCATATATTCTATTATTACGTGCAATACAGTATTATCATGTTAAAAAAATATATATTACCAGGCATAGTTCCACCACAGCCACAAGTCGCTTCCTTTTTACCTCCACTTGAACAAAATGTACAACAATGATAAATACCACTGTGAGGAGGTTTTAACATTGACATCCTTGTATTCTCATTATAATTCTCTATATAAGAAAAAATATTCATTATTAAAGAAATACACATAGGAATTACATACATCATTATATAAATTATTTTACTTACCTATTAATGTATTAAATACTCCCAAAACCTTAAATCTAGTTACTATTGTACTAGCAAGACTCAATATTTCTATGTCAGAACCATCTGAAATTAATTCATTCGTAAGAAAAATAGCATCAAGAAGATGTCTTGCTCTTTTTAACCTATTGAATTCTTGGATTCTTTCTTGAGCCTGTTTGGCATGAGACAATGATGAAACATGTTTCCATGCATCTGTTCCTTCATTAATGGTTTCGTTGAAATGTCTGTTTAAAATAAACAATTATCCTATAATATATAGCATAGAATTCAAATATAATATTTTAAGGACTAACGAGGAATTGTCATGTGATGTACAGTTTAAAGAATAATATAATCGAAGTAATACAGCTGTATATTTTTTGTTACTGTCATTTGAGGTACATGGTTTGAAAGAAGGTATTCACTTCTTCATTTCATTGAATGTCTAAAACATTTTACATAACTCTATAATAATCTATTATTATGAGTTTGTTTATAAATAAATAAGTGAAACACAGTATTATTTTAAAGAGTATTTAGCGAATTTAAGATATACAAAAACAGTAATTCAGAGAAGCTTCTAAGTTAGCCAATACCTTTTTTAGAAGTATCTTCTGATAGTTCTCAGTTGAATGGTTTTACTCGTGAAATTTAGATTCAAGTGTCTTATTATCATCTCAAAACTTAATACTTCTCAATATTTATATTTGGAAATGTAGATAACCATTTTCTTAGCATGTTGTATCCAACTGTGTAACACTAAAAGGCCATTGCTGAAAACAATCACCAGAAATAAATCTGAAAAACAAAGTGTCATATATATTTTACACATAAAATTACATATTAATTATTTTCATTTGAAAGAATGTAATACCTGAATAAGCAACACACAAATAATTCCTTTTTCATTTACACACAAAATAAACTTTGTGAATCATAAGTATAGTGATACCTAAAGTTGTATGTAGAGAAAGCGCCATCTGCTCAACAGGAATTTACTTTCTAACATTTTTTTTTACTTTTTATAACTTTATTACAATAAAACTCTTGAAAATTTGTGATGCCAAAATATAATATATTTATTTTTGCTCATAAATAAAACAATCATTTCATGGATATTTGTCTATACTATAAGCAGTGCTAAATATAGAAATACAAGTATTCAGAATATTTTACTCTTACCATATTTGTTTTAAATATTATCTTACAATTGCCTTTACCTATATTTTGACAACTAGATAGCTGAAGTTATTAACCAAATATATTAAAATTAAATAACCTATGTTTAATATTAAAAAATAGATCTTTTAAAACATAATTAAGAGTATTAGTATCTAAACTAACGCTAATCTAAATTCATTTAAATATGTTAAAATTAACTAAATCTAGAAGCATCAAATATTACACGCTACAATTAAGTGCAACAGTCAAAAAATCTTCAAATCCAATAGTAATTGATCCTGCTTGGTCAGAGTCTCTAACCCGGAAGGCATCTATGGCAATAAATGAAAAGAATATGTTACTACCCGTGTTTTACTTGGATATGTTCAATACGTTTTCAAATATGCTTGCTTTCATTGATGTATTTACCTGTAAACCTTTGAATTTGGACGCATAATACAATAAACTGATCGACAGTAATAGAAGAATGACCAGTGGGATCACATTTTTTAATAAGAAATGAAATAAAGTCTGGACTAAGTCTGTATCCCATTTGTGTTAAGGCTGCACTTAATTCATTTTCTTGTATACTTCCAGAATTGTCATGATCAAAACCACGAAAGACACCCAGCCATGCATTAATATAATTATAAAGAGATTGAAATTCGAATAAATCAATGGTACCACTTTTTTCTTTATCAAACATTCCTATAAAAATAATTTAGTAACTAGATGTATATTAGTTCTGAAGTGACAGTTAATCTACAATAAAATAAATGACCAATTAATAGCTCACCTATCATTAAGTTACAAGCAGTATCTGAAAATGTACCTCCTTGCCCATTTGCTAATGCACTCTTTAATTCTGATGCACTAATTCTTCCACTATTGTCTCTATCAACGGCAGCAAACCATTGTTGTACTTGTGGATTTATTTGCGCTTGAGGATCATTAGCACCATACATTGCTGCCTATAAATTAGTAATATTTAGTTCCAAATAATCAATTATAAATAAGATATGAGTAAATAAATTTGTATTGTTACTAAACGTAAAGATATTGTATTTTGTACAATGATAATAAAAATAGGCGATATATTCAAACTTTTGAGAGACAGAAGGCTAGACATATGTTCTATTCACTGAAACTAAGTGTGCATTAGAGTCAATTAAAAATGTAAAAATTAATTACCGGATACGCCATGATTAAGGCTTTTTGTCAATTGCTGAGTACTGTCAATTAAATGCACGGTTCTTTGACGATCAAAACAGTGGCAACCTTACTCCAGTAACCAACTAGATAAAAAAGAATAGAACAAATACCGTATGGGTTTTCATGAATAGACTCAGTTTGCCTTACCGACCGAAAAATTGAAGACTACAGTAATGGCACTTTGGGGTTTCAGAAAATTGGACTTCAAAAATAATTTGGATTATAAATCTATTCCTACATCATTGATAAGTTATAGAAATTATTTGGGATTTTCACATTGTACTTAACATACTAATTTAATATTTAAACTCGCGTATTTAATCTGCGATATCGGTTTGGATATTTTACTGTAAGATGGCACCATAAACCTTTTTGATCGTTTTTACGTATTAAATAGTTATGAGAACGATAATTGAAAGCGCCATATGTATAAAAGATCGTAATACGTATAAAGTTAATTATATTCTAGGGAAGATAAAGAAATTTATTATAATAACTCGTCTTTTTATACAGTACCACTGTAAAAAGGTTTGTATTTAAAGCACTATTGTTTTGATTTACACGCCGCAGAAACGCCATCTTACGATTTGTTTCGGGTTTGTCATATTCGTGTATATATACATAGCGGAGAGGGTGTTCACCACTGTTCGCTTTTACTTAATTTTCTGACAGTAGTATTCAAGAGGAAAGAAATTGCTGGTGAACAATATTTTCGTGCTCGTTAACACGCCGTTGAATTGGGCCCAGTCATGGACGATTTACAGAATTATAAACTGCAGCTTCAGCAGGTGAGATTATTGTTCTTTGCTTAACCTTACTCGAATGGTGGAATGGCGAGTCCATTTTTGGTGATCTCTTCGTTGTTTACGAGTGTTCATTCAGAAATGAATTTTCGGTTTTGTTACTTTAGGTGGAAGCGGCGCTTACCACGGATCCGACAAATGAAGAACTCCTGAAATTGAAAATTGATCTCGAGGAAGTAATAGAGCTGACACATGATTTAATTAAATCACAACAACAGGAAAAAAGGCAAGCCAATGGCATGGATGCTAAAGATCCTATTTTACTTGCAGTTCTGGCCAATAAATGGAAGGTTGGTGATCAGTGCATGGCACCTTGGAGCGAGGATGGCAAGTAAGTAATAAAGTTAGACCTTGTGTATTCGATGATATACTATTATTCCTTTTAAAAAGATGTGTGTTGTAATCCTAGTTTTACTCTATGGTAATAGATTTAAGTGAACCCAGAAATTATTAATTATAAAAATATTAATTGATTCATTGGACATTTGTAATAAGAATTACATGTCTTTTATAGTTACCATATAATTTTTTAGATACTATGAAGCAACAATAGATGCAATAAGCGAAGATGGTGTTGTTAATGTAACATTCAGTGAATATAAAAATACAGATGTCACAATGCTCAGTCAACTAAAGTCGGTAGCCAAAAGGCCAGCATCAGATTGGGCAGATCAGAAATCAAAGTAAGTTCTCTAGAAAGTGGTTTCTAGGATTTATTTATTTTTTGATAATAATCTATTATTAACACGACCCTTCCCAAGTTTTAATGCATACTAGATTTCGAAGTACATTATGGGTTACATTTTATAAGAACCAATGATTACTAATCATTCATTTTTCTCCTTATTCCTTTATTCCCAATTGGCCATGATAATCATCCCACTGTTTGGTGTGTCTTCATCTGAAATTCCATTACTGTTGATTTATCACTTGGTGTTGAACTATCTATGCACATTGCTGGAAACTAGAAAAAGGTAACAATAAATATCAAATTTCGGTTATATATTATTTCTCTTTTAAAATGATATGTATGGTTATTTGCAATAAATAGTCCTCAAGGATCATGTAGTTCTAATTGTTATATAGTGAAATTTGAGACAATTTCTACTTACATTTTATAAAGTAGTTTAATTTTACTTGTATTATTCTATCATTATTACAAAACCACTACATTTTTTACATTTAGCAAAAGAAGTAATGTATCTACATCAATATGTTACAATGGAAATCCATTTTCAGACAGGTACTTCTATGAGTTTATTAATTTACAGAAAAATGCAAGCTGCTGCAGTAGCAGGTTCTGATCCTAATAAACAAAGAGAATACCTTAAGAAAAAGAAGCAGAGAAAACTTCAACGATTTAAAGAGCTCGAGGAGGAGCGTGAAATGGAGAAGAACAAATGGCTAGCATTTACAAACAAGGTAATTTCTATTAATAATTTATATATGAATTACTGAACTAATTATTGTATTTTTTGCATTACATGAATAGTCCTCGAAAAAAGGTGTAATTAAGAAGAGTATATTTGCCACACCAGAGAATGTAAATGGTCGAGTGGGAATTGGTACCTGCGGCGTAAGCGGCCGGGAAATGACAAAATTTAGTAATGGAGAAAAATGGAGGAGGGGAGCATGAATGTTATTGTAAATACACAAATTAATATTTCGCGGGATAGAATTATCAATTATTGTTACATTATATTGAATTTAGTTCTCAAGAGAACTGAAAAAAAAACGTATGTTTTGTGTTGTATGACTGTTCTAACAGAGTAAATGAATGAGGCGTGTATAGTTGTATTTTGAGACTGTGTGTAGACATTATGTTACGAACAAACAATGACCTCAATAAATCCTGAAATTATCTGGATTTTCTACCTTCACGAAATGAGTGAGTTGTCATGAATGAATGTATTTCTAGGTTAATACATTTATGTGGGTATGATTTGTTTATAATCTATAAATGAAACGAATAAATGTATATTTTAAAGCCAAATGTTCATTGAATGCTTCTGTAAAACATTAAGTAAATTTTGTAAGTATTACATTTAAATGTATGTGATAAGTTTCTTCATTTAGTTGATTATATTTTATTCTTTTTCTTAATAAATAACTAATTTTCTATCAATGTAAATTGATGTGATACGCACATAAAAATAAAACAATCAACTTTTACACAACTTATACACTTCTATATAGTACCGTTAGAAGGATCAAAAATGGTCGTTCTATCGTGGAACAACACGTCACCACTAGGTGATACATCTAATACGATAAGATTGATATAAGAGGTCGATAAACTACGAGAAAAATTAATTTACTAAATTTCAGTTAACACTGTGGAGACTTACTATAGTTACTTTTGCATCTAAATGCAGAGATTGTATTCTAACCTACCTTAATTAAGATTAACAATAAACATTAAGTATGTTTAACGCTTATTAAGACAGTGAAACAACTTAACACTTATTTTTATTAAAGTCATAACAGTAACCGCGAGATTTGTTTTAAAAGTATCATCCAATACTTTATGTATCATAATAGCTGATGTAGATATGAAGAATTTTAAACAGGGTTTTTATATTTGCCTACCAACATATTCCATGCTTTTTTTACAAAGTCAGAATTGAAGAAAGAAGACTGATATTGTTACTATAGAATAATTAATTGTAGTACACAATATTATATTTGTATGAATAAAAACATGGAACCTAACGAAAGGAATCAAATGTCGAATGGAGATGCTACTAGCAATAGAGATGTTGATTGGTCTAGATATGGTTTGCATAATACAGAAACTCAAAGAAATAATGAAACTAGAAGATCTAATGGAGAATATGAAGGTCTTGGCCCAGAAATGTATCAAACAGGAGCAAATGAGTTATTTGCCCAAGAATATGTAAGTGAATGTACTTTATAAAGTAATGTTGTTACCTATATTTTTCCTTATCTTCTAGAGCTCTGATCCTTGGTGGAAATCAAATTTCTTCATTTCTCAACCTGTATTATTTGGAACCTGGGACGGTGTATTTACGTCTTGCCTTATAAATATTTTTGGAGTTATTGTGTTTTTAAGATCTGGTTGGATAGTAGGACAAGCTGGCGTTCTTAATGCGATTCTAATTATAGTGTGTACAGGTAAAAGTAAAAATGAATATACATGAGAACAACAAATAAATTTAGAAGTATAAAACTATATACAAACAATTTTTTCAGTATGCATTGTATTAGTAACAGTACTGTCAGCAGTGGGAATATGTGAACGGTGTAGAGTAGAAAGTGGAGGAGTTTATTTTTTGTTATCACACGTGTTAGGATCAAGATTTGGCGGATCAATTGGATTATTATATTGTTTCGGGCAGGTGAGATACCTTATGAGAGCAGTAACATTATACTGAGAATTATTTTGGAACTTTGTTTTAGGCAGTAGGTTGCGCACTGAATGTATTAGGTTTTGGAGAATCTATGGCTGGTTTAGTAGGCTTAGAATCTGCTTGGGCAGAACGTGGTTTTGCTTGTGCAGCTGTTATCTTGTTATCTGTTATCAATGTTGCCGGTGTCAAATGGGTTATAAAGCTCCAATTCATTCTCTTGTTAATTTTACTTCTTGCTGGAGTAGACTTTGTAGTAGGAAGTTTTACTCATGTGGATGTTGGTAAGATAAGACGATACGTATCTTGTAATATATAATTAATTTGGTAGTAATATTACTTCATGAATATTGTAGAGGCCGGCTTTGAGGGTTGGTTATCTGGAAATCTAAGAAACAATACCTTTCCCAATTATCAAAATGGATATAGTTGGTTTACAGTATTTGGTGTATTCTTTCCTACAGTAACTGGCGTTTTAGCTGGTATTAATATGAGTGGAGATTTAAGACATCCATCCACTGATATTCCTAATGGTACCTTAGCAGCAGTTGGAACTGGGCAAGTATCATAACTCAACATACACTTGTCTTATTGCTATTGTTTTGTTTTTCACTAAAGATCATATTGTTCCTATCGATTGAAAATTTCATATTACATGTTTTATCTGTTTTCCAGAACCTTCCTGTATCTATGTTTTACAATGTTTCTTGCGGCAACATGTACTCGCAACGCGCTTTTGACAAACTTTATGATTGCATCAACGGTCTCAGCGATTTCAGTATTGTTGTTAGCGGGACTTTACGTATCATCATTTAGTAGTTGCTTGGGTGCTATGTACGGTACACCTCGTGTACTTCAATCCATTGCTAGTCAAAATGTTATACCAGGAATGAGTTGTTTGCAAAGAGGGGTTAGTCAAGATATTAAATTGAATTATTAAGTTCTTTAATTCTTAATAATGAAATCAAATTAATTGTTTTAGAGAGGACCGAATAAAGTACCCGTGTATGCGATGTTAGTGGTTGCCATTGTTACATTGACATTCATTATTACTGGGCAGATTAACACGCTTGCTCCAATTGTTACAATGCCTTTTCTTTTGACTTATGCATGCTTGGATTACGCGTATTTCGCACTCGCCCAGACATTCGATATACAATTGACTCGAGAACAGAGATTTCGAACGCAATCCCCAACATTTGATCGCAACTACGGCCTGACAAATAGGAATAATTCATTACCTGAAACGGACAATGATTTGGACAATTTATTCCCTGAAAGAATAAGGCATAAAAACCTTGCTGTAAGCACATGGAAATATTTGGTCGCTGTGTTATGGTAATGAAACTAATTTTGAAATCATTTACAGAGAAATCCTAGCCTTTCAGAGAATAACATTTATATAGACTCTTCGCCAAGTATTGATGAAAATGCCAGCCCTACGGATAATACTGAACGAAAAATTCATATCCATAATAAATTGGGGAATTGGTACAGTCCTCTATGTAACAGATGGCTTTCACTACTAGGTGTAAGTATTTTATATATGTTTCTTAGATAAGTCACGATACTGTATTTACAAAAGTGTTCATTTTACAGTGCCTTATAAAGCTACTTATAATGTTTCTCGTTCATTGGGGCTATGCCATTGCGAATATAGTCGTGGTTTTCCTAGTATGGAGTTACGTTGGCCATGCTAACCCTGCTGTTAAACCAGGAGTGTCATCAGAATTTAAGTTTTTTAATTGGTTGAAGATGTCATTATTGAGACTTATGGGGTAACCATTATAAGAACCACAGTCGTTTACTGTACTTTAAGTATGTTTCAAGAAAGTTTCGTGTACCTTTTATTTTAATTTTAGGAGGAAAGTTTATGACTATGAACAAATCGTTGTTACACCAGTCCATCCAGGAGTCGAAACCTGTTCAGCTCAACTGAATGAGGAAAACGAAGATTTCGCTGGTAGACGAAGATATCATCAGACAGCTACAGTTACAGGGCAATACGTGAATATTGACTAAAAATGGAAGACTGTAAGATATCTAGGAAAAATCAGGTTACAGAGAGATATAAAAAATGTAGGCAACTGGAATTGCAAAGAGATCGCATTAATTTTATATTTTTAGTATAGGGGACAAAGAGTGTTGAGAATTTTCAACGCTATCATCCGCACAAAACTAGTCTTAACTGAAATCATTTTATATCTTAGGCACAAGGAACTTTTTATACAGTGCAATTTGATAGCCTTAACGATACTAACAATCCGTGTCGAAGATCAAGCCCTATATAACTTTCTAACAATTTATTCTACGTGGATTAGACGAAGTCGAAGCAATATGCTGCCAAAAGCATTTCTAAAATGAAGGGTCCATTCATTCTCAATTGAAATTATTTTACTAATTCTATCATATAATGTGAGATTATGTATTCTTTTATAGCCTTAATTATTTGTAGTTAGGATTCGTAATACCGTGATTAACAAGTAAATCTTTTGGAAAAGAAATTTTGAATACGATTATATTGCGATATCATAATATTTATAATAAATACTCTGTACATATGTAGTGATAATATATTTATATTATATTTAACATTTTTATAAATGTCTCTACGATGACGAGTATGTCAGTAATAAAATATACAAATATAAAAACAATCAATAATACTGTAAACCTTACATTCCATTTGAACACTTGATATGAAACGAAAAAGGTATTAATTAATATGAATATAATTTAATTGTTCATATCTCAATATTAAATAATAATAATAATAAAACAGACAAACATAGATCAATTTTTAATATTTGCAACATTCGTACCGACCTTAAATTTGTGAATCTGCGCTAACAGTTTGAATATTTTATCATAGATGGTACTAGAAGTCTGTTCTGAATTTTTTACAATTTGGGGTTAGAGGAATTCACTGATAATTAAAAATCGCCGGCACTAATAATTGTTAATACAGGATATTTACTCCATGGAGTTACATAAATATATTTATTTGTAATTTATATGTTTTTTTTGTAGTATTTGATGTATGTACCGTTCTATTTATGAGCTAAATTTTTAGTAGTAATAGTGCATGATACAATCGTTGTAGTCGATCTTTCCTTTCTGTCACTGATTGATTTTGTTATTTATATTCTGTTTTTCTGCGTATCTCTATAAAGAGGAAATATAAAAGAATCATTGTTAAAGTTTTTTAACATTTTAATAAATACTCTATAATGTTTATAGAGTAACTAATTGCGCATTACTTGTGCTTAACTTTGTGGTACTATCTACGAATTGTTTCGACCGTTTTACAGACGTAAAGATATACATTATCAAGAAAAATGGTAGTCAGGCAATATAAAGAAGAATTGAATTATATAGAGCAAATAAATGATACATGTTGGAGGATCAAGAAAGGTTTCCAACCTAATATGAATGTAAGTATCATCTGTTACTTTTGATCACTCTTATCTGTACAACATCCTAGATATTTTTCTTTCTCTGTTATAGGTTGAAGGTGTATTTTATGTAAATAACACATTGCAACGTTTAATGTTTGATGAATTACGCAATTCATGTAGGCCAGGTGCTGTAGGAGGTTTCTTACCAGGAATGAAACAAATTGCTAATGTGGCTGCACTTCCCGGAATTGTATGGAGGTCTATTGGATTGCCAGATGTTCATTCTGGATATGGTTTTGCCATTGGTAATATGGCAGCATTTGATATGAATGACCCAAAATCAGTGGTATCACCTGGTGGAGTAGGATTTGATATCAATTGTGGCGTACGTTTATTAAGAACCAATCTGTTCGAGCAAGATGTGTTGCCAGTGAAGGTAATACTTTATATTCTATTATTCATTTAATAAACTGTATTTCACAATTAAATATAATTGCATACATATTAACAGGAGCAACTTGCACAAAGCATGTTTGATCATATTCCTGTGGGTGTTGGCTCGAAAGGAATTATACCAATGAATGCACGTGATTTAGAGGAAGCTTTGGAAATGGGCATGGATTGGTCACTTAGAGAAGGTATTTACTTTAATATCTATTGCAATAAATTGTTCATACAAATATCAGTTATTTCTTAACTCTGTGCAGGCTACATCTGGGCTGAAGATAAAGAACACTGTGAGGAATATGGAAGAATGCTTAATGCAGATTCCTCAAAGGTATCAATGAGGGCGAAAAAACGAGGACTTCCACAGGTAACCGTCATAATTTTATTTATTTTAAATACATATTCTAATAGCATTATCTTTTAGTTGGGAACTTTGGGAGCAGGAAATCATTATGCTGAGATTCAAGTTGTAGATGAAATCTATGATAAATGGGCAGCATGTAAAATGGGAATTGAAGAAAAAGGCCAAATCTGTGTTATGATTCATTCTGGTAGCAGAGGATTTGGTCACCAAGTCGCAACTGGTGGGAAACTTACTCAAAGACTGAAATTATTTACAACAGGATAAATTTCTAATACTTTCTTCTTATTTTACAGATGCACTTGTTCAAATGGAGAAAGCTATGAAGAGAGATAGCATTGATACTAATGATAGACAGTTAGCTTGTGCTCGCATTAAGTCTCAAGAGGGTCAAGATTACTTAAAAGCTATGGCAGCAGCTGCCAACTTTGCTTGGGTTAACAGAAGTTCCATGACATTCCTTAGTCGTCAAGCTTTTGCGAAACAGTTCAAAATGTCTCCTGATGATTTAGATATGCATGTTATATATGATGTTTCTCATAATATTGCTAAGGTGGAGGAACACATGGTTGAGGGTAAACCAAAGACACTTCTAGTCCACAGAAAGGTAAATTAAGAATTTAGAATTTAATTTATTATATTACATTTCGATCACAGTTATGTTTAATTCATGATCACCATAAAAAATTGTAAAATTCGTAGGGATCCACGAGAGCGTTCCCACCTCATCATCCTTTGATTCCGGTGGACTATCAGCTTACAGGTCAGCCAGTTTTAATTGGTGGTACCATGGGAACATGTAGTTATGTTCTTACTGGCACTGAACAGGGTATGAAGGAGACATTTGGATCGACTTGTCATGGAGCAGTAAGTACTCATACGATATTTAGAAAATAAGAATATATATATTAATTGTAAATTGTGTTCAGGGCCGAGCTCTGTCTAGAGCCAAATCACGGAGGAACTTAGATTATACAGTAGTGTTACGAAAATTAGAACAGCAAGGAATATCCATAAGAGTTGCTTCGCCAAAACTGGTGATGGAAGAAGCACCGGAATCCTACAAAAATGTAACGGATGTTGTAAATACATGTCATGCCGCAGGCATATCTCGGAAATGCATAAAATTAAGACCAATTGCAGTTATAAAAGGATAATGTTTTCCCACACCGAACGAATGTTTTGAATTGTTAATTATGATTCAGTTGTTTGGAATGCCAGCCAAATTATTATTTAATTCCAGCATGAAGAGAATTATCTAATAATATAATTGAAAATTTTTAATAACATTAAATGTATTCTACTTTTTGTAAATTATGTAAATGTAACGAGTAATTTATAATAAAATCGGTTTACGAAAATATTCTTAAACAACACCATACTTACGGGTTTTACATGCACCTTCCAATTTCTTCGTTTCGCAAACATATCGCCATTGTCACGATGTAATACAAACGGTGGAGCATTCATTTAAAAATATTACATTAGCGTTTTATTAGATAAAATGTACAGTTACCTACGCTCGAAGTAAGAAAGCTATATTAGACTAATTCGTTTGACTTTACACGTAAATTAAATTCGCAGTGTTACGCTTAACAAATCCTCCAAAGACTAAAAATAGAAAGGACAGTTCAGAGGAAAGATTGTCGAAAGACTGATTGAGTGTAGATAATGGAAGCAAACCATCACCATAAATAGTACATATATTTATATATATATATATATCTATATCGTGATTTAGGGTACTCGTATATATATAACAGTAAACAACATCACGCGGCAGTGTGAACCCTAAGGAGGAAAACACGGAGGACTAGTCAGTGGAGGAGTTGTTTCTAGAAATACAAGACCGACCATCCGAATATAGTGGTCTGAAGTGCATTCCAACGGGAATTATATAAAATTACGTTATAAAATAATAATTATCCTAGAGGACTTATGATAGGTGATAGTCAGGAGAAGGTTCAGCTACGGACTCAGTAGTGAACAGTGGATTTGGGAACTCTGGTGGATGTGGCAGTGGTCCAGCAGTCTTTGGCTGGCGTCGATACGCCATTAGCCAGCAAGATACAGCAATAGCTACAGCGACTAGTGCCAAAAGTGCTGTGATTACTAATGCTATCACAAAGCCGACCATAGAAACACATATATCCTCCACTCTTTGAGCTGAAGCAACTGGAACAATAAACATAAATGTTGTCAAACCGTATCTCTATCAGTATAGTTAAGTATTTTTGTAATATATCTTACTTTCAGCTGGATCCGCTGTAAACCTTTCTTCTCTCCTCTCTAAGGTGAATATTAGATTTGACTGGATTGTTATTTCTTCTCGAAGTTGTCCCTCAAAGTTGTCAGTAACGCTCAAAGCTGTGTCATTAGTCTCGGAATCAACGTCTCGTCGGCGGCGGCCAAATGCATTGTATCCTCGGCAGTTGACCTGAAGTTAATAATTACCAATCGTTTATTATTACTATTCTGAAACTTATTTGACACTTTGTAATATACAAGCAATTGCTAGGTGAAACTAACAGGCTGGCAGCGGCCGAAGCACACGCGAATATTGCACTGGAATCGAATATTATCGCTACTTGGGAACTTGAACGCGTTAAAGCTAGCCATTAATGCTTGGGTTTCAGGATTCTGTTCCCATTCCCCAAATATCGTCGGATCTGTCGCGCATCCATTTTCATCTGTTACTATATACTCGTTCTCTAAGTTGTCCTCCATTGTCTTGGCTACACAGTTTCGGGCGAATCCACCGTAAATGCCTGAAACATTAAGGATTATTATTTTACTGTATCAATGACAGTTTAACGTTTTATAACGGTGACTATGATGTACTTACTGGAAGGTTGAACTTCGACTTGCAACATCAAATTATCTCCAATTTCAGCAGAGTTGATTTCATTTCCATTTTGGGTGACAATCTTCATGAGACAGACTGGTGGTGGTCCTGTGTTAGCAATAGTTCCAGCGGTGGTTAGCATTGAAACATTGAAACCGAGTGTAACGTTCTGCTCTCCAGTTTGGTAGATACATTTGATGTGATAGGCCTGGGCTTTATATGTCATTAATTTTGGATGCTTCTGGATGACTAAAACGAAGCTAGCTTGTCCCTGAAAGTATAGAAAGAGAATTTTACTTAATTTAAAACATGTAATTGACTAAGCTGTGGACAATATTGACAAGACAGTAATTGAATTCTATTACTTCCTGAAAGGAAAACCTACATTCACGTGGAACAGTCCACAATTTCCAAACACCACTTTAAATATCTCCGTTTTATGCATGGTGTCAGCAGAAATGGATACCACTCTTCTACACTGTTCATCTTTGCTGCGGCCTTTAACGTAGAGGACACCATCGAATTCATCATCCAGAAGGTGTATCAAAACTTGGACTCCATCGGATAAACAGCTGACAATTATATCCGGTCTAGGGAAGTCGGTGCGTCCTCTGTTTCCGTTGTCTATTTAACAAAATTTTCATATTAATTACCCTAATAAAACTCTAATAAAAATATGCCTTCTAAAAAGCAAGTTCTTACAGCATTGAGTATAAGCGTTTCCACTGTAGCCACTGATGCACGTGCAAATAGCTTGATGTCGAGTGGTATTGCAGATGGCGTTCATGCCACACAACTGCGTCAAACAAGGATCTTCGCAGGTTTGACTGGTCTTGTCGCAGTATCTGTTGTCAGCGCAATCATCGTCGCGTCTGCATTCGACTATATCTACTGCAAAGTACAGATCTCAATTTGAATCGACTCTTAAAGGACAAGAATCGTTAAGGATTAGTCTTATCGCCTTTGTACCTAATTTACAGTATCCATTAGCGTCTAGTCTGTATCCATGTTTCGTTGAGCACACGCAACGGCCATACTCGTCGATGATCATGCCATTTTCCAAAGCACAAACGCAGTATCCGTCTTCATTGATGATCATTCCACTCTGTTTGCGACAAGGTATGCACACGTCGCTCTCATCTTTAGCTGTGCCAGGTGGACAGACACAATTACCATTCTCATCACGTACTTGACCCTTCTCCACTGGACAGATGTTAGCTATAAAAATTGAAACATATTTAAAAATATTCTCCTCACATTAGTTGCATACTGCAATTTACTAAGTTCAAGAAATTACCTTTCTCACAGCGTTCAACCGCATTTCCCCTGTACCCTGGCATGCACTCACAGATCATGGTCCGCACAGGACTTGTATCCAGAACTTTACAGTCTGCGTTCGCCACGCACGGTTGAATCTTCACGCAAGGGTTGATGCATTCGCCATTGAAGCAGGCAGTTTGGGATGGACATTCGTTGTCTGCCTTGCACCGTTCTGTGACTAAACGTAGAAACTCCAATGAGACAAAAAACCAAAATTAAAACTTAAATAAACCTAGCTGCATAAATTCATTCCTACGTTTGGTACATCCTGATTCAACATCGCCAATGTAACCAGGTGGACAAGCGCATTCCACCAGGTGATTGTAAACGTTGCAGTTCATGTCCCCGCGGCAAGGGTTCACAACACACGGGTTCTCGCAGCGACTGTTGACGCACGCCTTGTTTGTGGGGCAATCCGTGTTAGTCCTGCAGCCCAGGAGAGTGCAGGCGACTCTAGGATTGCCACCGAGACCCGGTGGACATTCACAGATGGCTTTGTGATTGACTCCTTGGCATACGGCGTTCTTGCCGCAGGTCGGCTCGGTTGGGGAGCACGCTGGGACACAGTTGTGTTGAACGCAGGTGTGGGATCCACTGCAGTCAGAGTCTGTACGGCATCCGACCACTGAAAGGTCAAATTAGAATTCGCTTTCAATGTTCCTCCTATCAGCATGAAACTAGGATCACAATAGAAAGATTTACTACCTTTAGTGCAAGCCACATCAGCGTTTCCATCGTAGCCCACAACGCAGGAGCAAATGGGCTTATGGTCCACAACGAGGCATTCCGAATTGGGTCCACAAGCGCACGGGTTTTTGCAGACCGCGTTCACGCAGGACTTGTCCGACGGACAGTCGCTGTCTTTAGTACACTCGATGTCCTGAATAGGCTTTGTAGCTCTACACGTACCGCTGCCGCTGCTGACGTAACCGCTTGGACATACGCACACCATACTGCGGACAGGGTGAGTTGGCAGTACCCTGCACTCGGACGGTTCGCTGCATGGTGCGATAATGGAGCAAGGATTCTGGCATCTGTTATTGAAGCAGGCCAGCGAATCGGGGCAGTCGTCGTCCTCTCTGCACTCTGGTTTGTCTTCTGGTTTGCAGTTTACGTAGGGATTGCCCACGTGATGGGATGGGCAACGACATATGGGCAAATGGTTGAATACTCTGCACTCGGCCAGTGGCGAGCATGGATTGCTGTGCAGACAAGGATCCACGCATTGCAGATTGATGCAGGAATGGTCGCCCGGACAGTCGCCATTGCTGTAACAACCGATCACTCTGCAGCGATCCAAAGGATTGCCATGGTAGCCCTTGCGACAGCGGCAGTCGGATTTATGATTGTTAGGATAGCACTCTGCGTTCACGCCACAGCTGTCCGATACCAAGCAAGGATTCACACAGTTGTTGTTCACGCAACTCTTGTCTAGAGCGCACTCGCTGTCTCTCCTACATTCCACTGAGTAGCAAGCGATGTCTGGATTGCCTTGGTAGCCTTCCTCGCACGAACAGATGGGCTTGTGGTTTCTCACGTAGCATGCAGCGTTGGTACCGCAGTTGCACGGGTTCCTGCACTGTCTGTTGATGCAGGATTCGTTGTCGCTGCACTCGTCGTTACTGGTGCAAGTGCCAATGATCGTTATTTGAACTGAAAATTAGAAGGAATATTTGTACATCCATTTGCATGAGGTTTTACAGATATACTCATTGGGTCAGTGATCTGAAATTACTCACTTGGTCTGCAGACTCCATCGATGTCAGTGGTCCAGCCCTCTGGACAGGTACACGTCATGGTTCTTACAGGTACAGTGTCAAGGACATTGCATCTAGCGTTCTCCAAGCACGGTTTGATCACCGGGCAAGGATCGATGCATTTGTTCTTGATGCACACTAGTTTATCAGCGCAATCGAGGTCTACTCTGCACTCTGGCTCGTCCAAGTAAGTAGTGAGATGCTCGCAATAAGAGTACGGGTTTCCGGCAGGTAAGTTCTCAGGACAGCGACAAGTGGATTCGTGATCTTGAACGTAGCAGACGGCGTTCTGCGCGCACGGTGATTCCTCGATGCACGGATTGACGCAGCGTCCACTGTAGCAAGCCAGGTTTCGAGGACAATCGTGATCTGCGTTGCACTCGGCGCGCTCGCAATGGACTTCTGGGTTGCCAAGATAACCGGCTCCGCAGCGGCAAACAGCGCGATGGTTTTGGCCGTAGCATTCCGCGTTGATCGCACACTTGTTCTCCAGGATGCATGGATTCACGCATTGCCCGTTGTAGCAGGTTGCGGCGTTGTTACACTCGCTGTCAGTCTCGCAATCCACTGGAAGCAGGAATTTTATAAAATGAATCGTGTAGCATATTTGATAATACTTGATAATACTTGATGTTATAAATATTCCTAATTCATTATTTCCTAATGAAATATCAATAACATTATTTGCAGCTAATGTAAAGAAAAATCTTGTATAAAAGACACAACTGTTTTATTTTTGTTTCACATGTTGATAGCTAAAATTTAATATTGAATTTAAGATTTTACAGTTTCACTGTGTTCAATCAAATGGCGACTAGGAGTCGCCTCTTGAGTGCAAGGGATTAAATATGATTTCTTTGTATTGAGGCATAACTTACATTTGAAGCAGCCTAATTGGGGATTTCCAGAGTAACCAGGCGGGCACACGCAAGATGGATAATGGTCGACAACGTTGCATTTGGCGTTTGGACCGCAGTTGCAAGGATTAATGCACAAACTGTTTACACAGGCAGCATTACCGGCGCAATCGCTGTTCGAACGACATTCAGCTACTATGCCAGCTATAAAGGTACAAACGTTATTTGTAAATGATTCTATAAGTTAATACAAGTATTCTATTTGATTATACACTTACGTGGTATGCAATTGTGCCTGGCGTCGCCCTCATAGTTAGCTGGACATCTACAAACCGCAATATGATTGTTGACGTGGCACAGTGCGTTTCTTCCGCAAGGATCCGTGGTTACGCAAGGATTCACACAGAGGGAATTAATGCATTGCTTATCGTTAGGACATTCACTATTCGTGTAGCACTCTGGGCGAGGCGGTGGTAAGGTTATAATTGGAGCTGAAATATAAAAATTCATAGTTACTCGCAATCTCTTAACTACCCTTAATCAATCTTTAATTCAACGAGTCGTACTTCTGATGCATTCGATGTAAGCGTTGCCAGTGAAATCTGGAGCACACTGACAGATACCAGTGTGAGATGCTGACTTGCATTGAGCGTTCAGACCACACTGAGTAGTGAGACAGGCTTCGATGCAAGTTCCACTGATGCATTTATCTGAATTATTGCAGTCTTGATCTTGGTGACACTGGACATCAGCTACCACTGAATTGCAAATAACAATTTATTTATTATGTGTTAAACAAAAGAAGGTTGAATTCTTGAGAGATAATTAATGGTGCTTACGAATCTTCTTGCATTGCCCGTTGATGTCAGTGATGGTGTGTGGTGGGCAGCTACATATCATTGTACGAAGTGGTACCGTATTTAATACTTTACATTCTTGATCACCAGTGCACATATGCGATGACAGACAGGGATCTTGACACCTTGCATTGATGCAGGCTAAATAAAATGGACATTCACTATCTGCCCTGCATCCTACTTCTGTAGAAACACCTGTACTCAATTAAGAAAGATGATTAAATTAGAATCAAATAAGTCGTGAGGCAAGGGGTTGATTTAAGTCAATGAAATTTTATAAATGAGGTTACCCGTGCATTCGATGTAAGGATTTCCAGATGTTCCTGAAGGACATATGCACCTCGGTTGGTGCTCCTTAGCAACGCATTGAGCAGTGTCTGCACAAACATCTTCATCGCAAACCGGTCGACAAACCCTGTTCAGTCTGTCGCATGCTTCATAATCAGCGCAATCTTCATTGTAATGACATACTGCCGAGACGCAAGCTATTCGCGCGTCGCCTTGGGTACCTCGCGGGCACATGCATTGCGCTCGATGGGAAACCGCAACGCACTGTGCACCACGACCGCAAGCAATGCCGCCATCGAGGCACGGGCTAACACAGTTTTCGTTTTGGCAGGCCTTGTCGTAGGGACAGTCGTCGTCAGACTTGCATTCAGCTGAAGACATAATATATTTTTATGTTTTCTTGTACTTTGAATCATTTGAAACCTTTATTCGTTACTTTTGTATTCATAATATCAATTGACACGATGGCAATTCTCGTCTAATGAAACTTACGTTTGAAGCACTGTACTTGGGGATCACCAGCATAGTTTTGTCGACAGTGACACGTCGGGTGATGGTTCACCATGATGCACTCTGCGTTTAATCCACACTGTGAGCCCAGACATGGGTTCTGGCACAGCTGATTAATGCAAGCTGCTTCAGGTGAGCAGTCTGAGTTTGATGTACAGTCAGGGAAGCCCTCGGTATCTAGTACAAATAAAACATTTTACTCAACATATGAATACTGTTGTTGAGTCAGTGTTATTGATTGCATTTCAATAATTACCTCTATAGCAATTCATGAATGGATCTCCGGATAGACCAGTGTTACAGTGACATTGGCGACGATGGTTTTGTACAACGCACTGCGCATTCGATGCACAGGGGTTGATGGTGCAAGGGTTGACGCATCGTTGGTTCAAGCACGCCATGTTTGATGTGCAGTCGGAATTGGTGTTGCAGATTGCGTCAAGTTGTTTATCCACTGCAGAAGGAAATAATCATGTATTTTAGTAACTAAGAAATTCAAGCATTCAGTAATCATTGAGTGTATTATATTCACCTGGAATACAAGCGACTGTTGCGTCGCCAGCGAAGTTCGGTAAGCATTCGCAGATCATTGTCCTCATTGGTAGCGTGTCCACAACAGAACATCTTGCACCTGTGATACAAGGTTTCGTTTCGATGCACGGATCTTTGCAGACTCCACTGAAGCAGCCCAATTTACTGGGACAGTCTCCGTCTACTTGACATTGCAAGTCCGTTGGTTCTAAGTGGGACAAAGAATTTTTTAATTTTTAATTAGCTCTATATTTACGTATCCTGCAAAGTTAATTCAGGTTCAGTAAATTACCCATGTGGCAATTCGTGTACGGGTCACCCGTGTAACCAGGTGGACACCGACATGTTGGTCTGTGGTTAATGACAGAGCATTGTGCAGACATTGGACAGTCGCAAGGGTTGACGCATCTCTGGCTGCTGCACGCCAAGGAAGATGGGCAATCATTGTCGTTAATACATTCTGGTCTCTCACAGATATGATACGGATTTCCTTGGTATCCCTCAGGACAGTAGCAACGTGGTTTATGGTAACCATCGGATGAACAGAGAGCATTGACGCCACATTGTGTGACCAAGCAAGCGTCCACGCACTCGTTGTTGATGCAGGACTGAGCCAAGGGGCATTCGCTGTCCCCGCGACATCCAACTGCAAAAATTATTCCAATGTGTTTGTGATATAAGCATTCAACAATTATGTGAACAGCTTGTGTGATACCAGTACACGAACGAAGACTGGATTACATACTTTCACGACAGTATTGTTGAGGATTGCCAGTGAAACCTTCATTGCAGACGCATACAGCTCTGTGCAACAGCACGTGGCAGCGACTGTTGTAGCCACACGAGTCCAATGTGCAAGGATTGATGCACTTCTGATTGTAGCAGGACTTGTCATTCGGACACTCTGAGTTCTGAGTGCATTCCGGAACTGGCACTATACATGGAAAATATTAGATGATTATGACATTAATCAGGGATGCCCTTGAGAACGGTTAAGCTTCCTAATTAATTCTGAAAAATTACCATCAGCTGGTGGAATGTTGCATTGTATCCTTGCGTTACCAGTGAATCCAGATGGACACGAACAGACAGGCTTATGATTGACTGTTTGGCAGATGGAATTGACGCCACAAGCGCCTATGCAAGGATCTCTGCATTTCTGCGTGAAGCAGGCTTTGTCCCGTGGACAATCTTCGTTGATGACACACTCCGGATAAATACACACTGCAACACTGTTTCTAATCTTGCATTCGCCATTGTAGGTGCAGGGCGATGGACTGCAAGGATCAGTTTCTGGAAAAAAATCAGTTCAGAATATACCAGTACTAACACAACTGCTTTAGAATGAATAGTTTGATATATCTTAAACTTACCAACTGGTTCAGTGCATTCTACGAACGGATTGCCAATGAACGGTGACGGACAACTGCAAAGTGGACTGTGATTGATCGCCTTGCAAGTCGCTCTGATACCACACACATTCTGGGTGCAGGGGTTCACGCATCTGTTGTTAATGCACGCCTTATCTCCCGGGCAGTCGGAACTGATCACGCATTCCGGATGACAACCAGTGACGCTCGAAGGTACACCTTGGAGACCAGGGAGACACTTGCACACCACCGTGTCGCCGACTTTCTCACAGAGAGTGTTCGGTCCGCAGGGAGATGGAGAGCAAGGATCCCTTTCTTTTGGTTCTGCACATAGAAAACAAGTTGATGCCTCCGTTGAGAAATTGTTTGCAGTGGACCCAGGGTGGGACTTACAAATACAATGACTTTACCTTCTACTCTGCAGAGTGTGAACGCATCCCCTATAGTTGGTTGAGGGCAAGAACAAATAGGAATGTGATTGGACACCGTGCAGATCGCTCCAACGCCACAAGTGCCAAGACAAGGATCTTGACACTTGGTCCTGATGCAAGCTTGGGACTTCGGGCAGTCGGTGTTCACCAAGCACTCCGGTTGGCAACCTTCGTACGCGTTTCCTCTGTATCCAGGGATACACTCGCAGAACGCGGTGTTGTACCTCTCTCGGCAGTAGGCGTTGACTCCACAGGGCGAAGGGCTGCACGGTCTCGACGGTGTCGGTGGTTTTGCGGGCGCTAAAATAAAATTGGAACACCGAGTAAGTAATCGCGTCGATCAACAGGCTGCTCGGTTAATACACGATTAATCAGAGAAACGAGAACGCTGTATATGAAATGGGTTAATGTACAATTATTGAACGATCCGGAGGAAACTGCAAGTGAAGCTGTACAAGAACACACGAACGGAGACGTACATGATTTACAGAGATCGTGAAAGCTTGAAAGTATGAAATCGTGTATGAACAATATGGCAATTCAGATTCAAGAGAGTGTCCAAGAGAACGACGGAGAGAGATCTGAAACCGTTCGCTTACGGTACCGACATGCAACTCGTCTCATATACAATCTATAATATATGTACAATATTTACAGACAGCTAAAAGAATCGAACAAAACAATTGAAACAGAGAACTAGAATGAATTCGCGGGACATCTCTCGTTCTTGATAGTATCATCGTTGTCACACGAGATGGTCCTTACTCGTGATCGGGGAACAAACTGTGACCGGGTCCCCGGTATATCCCTCGGGACAGACGCAATGGATGTAATGCAGGGCAACTTGGCAGAGGGCATTGGTACCGCAGAGTCCTACGCAAGGATTGGTACACTTCTGCTTAACGCAGGCCTGATTGCCGGGGCACTCGCTGTTTACGAGGCATTCGGGTCTACAGTTGGGAGGAGATCCTATGAACTCGGGCATACAGGCGCAGGAAGGTTTATTGTTGATTACGGTGCACTGGGAGTTCGGTCCACACGGTGAGGGGGTGCACGGGTCCAGGCTGGGTTCCACGTCGTTCGGTTCTGTTCGCCGGTAAAAAAAAGAGTCCGGTTAAGGCGGGTGCGTTCTGAAAATCAGCAAGAAGTTCACTCTCTCTCTCTCTCTGGGCTACTTACGGATGGGGAAGCAGCTGACGAATGGGTCGCCCGAATAACCGGCAGGGCAGCTGCAAATGGGATTGTGATTGCGCACTGCGCACAGCGCGGCCTGGCCGCAGGTATTCTCGCAAGGATTCTGGCATCTCTGGTTCACGCAAGCCCTACTCTGCTCGCAGTCGGTGTTCACGAGACACTCGGGTCTACAACTGGGCGGAGTCCCGAAGTATCCAGGGAGGCAGGAGCAAGAGGCTTGCTCGCCGAAATCACGGCAGACGCTGTTGGGTCCGCAGGGCGAGGGCTCGCAGGGTTTCACGCGTTCTATTGTTGAGCAAGAGGGTTCGGTTACAAGTTGGTCTCGAGTGAATCTGTCGTTAGACGAGGAGGACGTTGAACTCACTTTGCACGGGTTTACAGTAGGTGAAGGGATCCCCTTCGTAGCTTTCTATGCAACTGCAGGTCGGAATGTGATTAACCGCGACGCACTCGGCGTTCTGGCCGCAGACTCCCGGACACGGGTCCACGCATTTGTTGTTGGAGCAGGCTTTGTCGCGGCTACAGTCTGAGTTCTGTACGCACTCCGGGTAACAGCCTTCGTAGGGGTTGCCACGGTACTCGGTTATGCAGGTGCAGACTCCGTTTCGACATTGGGTGTTTGGTCCACAGGGTGAGGGGTTGCATGGGTCTGAGGGTGCTGGAGGGGCTGGTTCAAGAAGAGCGAAGTCAGTAAAGCAATTGAAGATTTCAGGAAATCTGAGTTGGAATTCTTATCACTGACACGTTGGAATGGTTTGTATCCTTACTTGTGGGTTTCGGTTGGCAACTGGTAAAGGCGTCGCCTACAAAATCTGCAGGACAGCTGCAGGATGGTGTGTGGCTGATAACATTGCACAATGCATTTGTTCCGCACGATCCTGGGCAAGGATCTATACACTTCTCTCTGATACAGGCTTTATCGCTGGTACAGTCCGAATTGACCAAACATTCTGGCCGGCAATTGGGAGCTGAACCGACGTAGTTAGATAGGCAGGAGCACGATGGAATGCCTCCTATGTCTTGGCACTGAGAGAACGGTCCGCAGGGGGATGGCACGCAGGGGTTCACGGGAGTGGGCGGTACTATTGCTAAAATGGGAGTTCCAATTGAAATTTCATTCAAGAGACATTTGAAGACAACGTTCCTGTGATTGGACCACTTACTGGTGACATCAAAACATTTCACGAATGGGTCTCCTGTCTGACCAGGACTACAGCTGCATATGGGACTGTGGTGGAACACTTCACATCTAGCGTCCACGCCACAGACACCTGGACAAGGGTCAACGCATCTCTGGCCCATACAAGCCTGGTTAGTGGGACATTCAGCGCTAACTACACACTCTGGTCTACATCCTGGTGGGGTTCCTTTGAAGGAGGGCAGGCAAGAGCAACTAGCTTGGCCATTGTTGTCCTGACAACGACTGTTTGGTCCACAGGGTGATGGCACGCATGGATTCGGGGTGGATGGTTTGGCTACTCGGGATAAATTAGGATTAAACTCTGCTTTTAACACAGAATTCAAGTCTTCTAACGTCTGATCACTTACGAAGTTCTGCGAGTGCACCACAGGACTTGAACGGGTTTCCGGTGTAACCTGACCTACAACTACAGCTGGGGATGTGATTCACGACTTGACATGCTGCGTTGAAACCGCAGGTTCCTGGACAGGGGTCTTGGCATTTGTTTCTGATGCAAGCTCGATTGAACTGACAGTCGGAATCAATGAGACACTCGGGTCGACAGTTCTCGTAGGGATTGCCATAGAAATCGGGTAAACAGCTGCATAGAGCTGAACCATAAGAGTCACGACAAACAGCGTTTGCACCGCAGGGAGATGGCTGGCACGGGTTCACTCTGGTTGGCGTATCCTCCACTACAAGCAAATTTGAAAAGTCAATATTGTTCCCAAGTCTTGGTTTACCAATGAGGCGATGCCTGAAAGTGGTTCTTACTAGGTTGAGGGCTACATTGAACGAACGGATTCCCGGTGAAACCGCTAGCGCAACTACACATGGGAGTATGACTGATCGTTCTGCATTCTGTGTTTCTACCGCAGGATCCTGGACAAGGGTCTTGACACTTTTGATTGATGCAAGCCTGTTGAACTGGACACTCAGAATTGCTCACGCACTCTGGTTTACAGTTTGGCGGAGTTCCTATAAATTCTGGGAGACAGGAACAAGAGGGCGTGTTGTTGATCACTTGGCAGACTGCGTTTGGACCACAGGGTGACGGTTGACAGGGGTTCACTGGTACATTCGGTACCTTGCCTAAAATTAAGGGAGCATTGTCTCGGTGAAATTGTTCTTCGAATATTTGAGGCTACAAAGGTGTTATTCCTGAAATAAAAATTCATTATTCTTACTGGGCGGTGTGCATTGAACAAACGGATCTCCAACGAACTGGTCGAAACACCTGCACACAGGGTTGTGATTGATGACAGTACACTGTGCTGATAAGCCACAAGCGCCCAAACAAGGATCAATGCACTTCTGATTGCTACAAGCTTTGTCACGTGAGCAATCAGTGCTGACAATGCACTCTGGCCTACAGGAAGGTGGCGATCCTTTGAATCCATTGATGCAAGTGCAAACTGCTTGCCCATTGGAGGACCGACAGTGACTGTTTGCACCACATGGGGATGGATTGCAAGGGTCAACGATGTTCACGTCTGTATTTTACAATAAATATCAGTAGTATGTTGTTTTTATAACCTATCATATATGTTAACAAGAAAGTAGTAACTAACCTTTCATTGGGGTACAGGATATAAACGCGTTTCCAGTCATGTTTCTAGGACAACTGCACATGGGCAAGTGATTGACTACATTGCACATTGCATTTGCTCCACACGTTCCTACACAAGGGTTTCTGCATTTGTGCAGTATACAAGCTTCGGTTCGCAGACAATCAGTGTTAATAACACATTCAGGACGACAAATACTGTACGGGTCACCTAAGTAACCAGGTATACAAGTGCAAGTGCCATCTCTGCACTGTGCGTTGGGTCCGCATGGTGATGGATTGCATAGGTCTGTTGGAGCTTCTGTTACTAAAATGGAAACATTAATATCTGTTGTAGAAGATGAATTAGCGTTGATACAATTCTTAATGCTGTTTTCCTTACTGTCAGGTTGAGGAATAAGAGAACAGCTGATGAAAGGATCACCAGTGTAGCCTGCAGGACAGTTACACGATGGTGTGTGATTAACCACTGTACAACGTGCACCGATGCCGCAGGATCCTGGACAAGGGTCCCTACACTTCTCCCGAATACAAGCTTTGTTCGCTGTGCAATCTGAATTCATGGTGCACTCTGGTCGACAGTTGGGGGGCACACCAATATAGTTGTTCATACAAGTGCATACAGGAGTGTCACCTGAAGGTTTGCACAGCGCATTTGGACCGCAAGGGGATGGAATGCACGGATCTTTTGGATACTGAACTTCTGGTGTAGTTACTGTGGAAAAAAGAGTATGCATTTTATTCTGTCTATGCTTTAAGAACTTTGTAATTAATATGATCTTTCTCTTGTATCCTTTGTAAAATAAATGATGTATCAAAGGAATTATTCTGTTAAATAAATATTATTACTATACAAAGTAAGAAAGTGAAATGTCACTCGACTCAATGGGGATGAAGATAAGAAAAACTCACTTGGAATGGGGAAGCAATACACAAATGGATCTCCTGTTAAGCCGCTTCCACAGCTACAGATAGGACTGTTATGAATCACTTTGCACTGTGCATTGCGTCCACAGGTTCCAGCGCATGGGTCTCTGCACTTCTGATTGACACAGGCCAGATTCGAATTACACTCTGAATTGACGACACATTCGGGTCGACAATTCGGTGGGGTTCCTACGTATTGGGGTAGGCAAGAGCACACCGCCTGACCAGTGATACTCTGGCACTGACTGTTCGGACCGCAAGGTGATGGTCTGCATAAGTCGGGTTCGTCTTTTTCGACTAGAAAATATTAACATTGTATACACAACTCAAATGAATTCTAATCGTTTCGTTTTCTGACTTACTGGATGGCAATTTGTACAAGCAATTCACGTATGGATCACCGATGTACTGTGGCAGGCAAGTGCACACTGGCAGATTGTTAACCACTTGGCAGTTGGTGTTGCCACCGCAAGCACCGGGACAAGGATTCTGACACTTGAGATTGATGCAAGCCAAATGGGAGGGACAGTCTGATGCAATTGTACATTCCGGTCGACATCCTTCGTAAGGATTGCCAATATACTCTGGTAAACAGTAACAAGAACCAACGCCATTCTGTTCACGACAAATAGCGTTGGCTCCGCAAGGGGATGGTTGACAGGGTTGCGTCGGAATCGTTGACATCGCTGAAGAATCAGTAAAACAGTTAACTTCATTCCTGAAACTTCTCATTTTGTACAGGTGATTGTGGAACACTTACGTGGCTTGGCAGTGCATTGAACGAAGGGATCTCCTGTGAAGTCTCTCATGCAAGTGCATGCTGGTACGTGATTCACAACATGACACTCTGCATTGGACCCACAAGAGCCCGGGCAAGGATCTTTGCACTTGTGGTTGATGCAGGCTAGATTGTTATTGCACTCGGTATTACTGGCACACTCGGGCCTACAATTAGGAGGGGTTCCAATGAATTCTGATTTGCAGGAACAAGATGGCTGGTCATTGATCACTTGACAAACTGCATTGGGACCACACGGTGATGGCTGACATGGGTTTGTGGGTAACACAGGTTCCTCCGCTTTAAAACATATTAAAAAATTATGTTGTGATCTGCTGATTATAAGGATCTACTTAAATCAAGAGACACCTACGTCTGGGTACGCAACGCACGAACGGATCACCGGTGAAAACTGGAGGACAGCTACATATAGGGTTGTGATTGATCACTTGACAACGGGCCGACACTCCGCATGATCCAGGGCATGGGTCGCTACATTTCAAGTTCACGCAAGCTTCGTTCAATGGACAATCGGTGTTGACCAGACATTCTGGTCGACAAGCTGGAGGATTTCCTATGTAACCTGGGGCACAAGAACAAACTGCTTGTCCGCTGAAGTCTTGGCATCTGCTATTGGGACCACAAGGTGACGGGTTGCAGGGTTCTACTATCTGTGGGTCTGTAATACAAACAATCTCCTTTACTTCTGTACGATGCTAATATCAAACCTTCTCATTTCCAACGAGTTTACCTTTAACCGGATAGCATGTGGTGAACGCGTTACCAGACATACCGTCTGGGCAACTACACATAGGTGTATGATTAATCACCACACACTCGGCGTTCTGTCCACAGACACCTATGCAAGGGTCGAAACACTTGTTGCGATTACAAGCTTTGTCCAATGCGCAATCCGGGTTCTGGACGCACTCTGGGCGACATCCATAATAGGGATCGCCATGGTACTCGGGCATACAAGTGCAAGTGCCATCGCGACAAACAGCGTTGGATCCACAGGGCGAGGGGTTACAAGCGTCTTGCGGAGTTGGTTGTGTGGCTGGCATAATAATTTCATTAGAATCTAATATTCGACATGCCTTAAATTTGAGACAACTTGAGAAAGGATTCTTACAAGGTACGTCTACGAAACAGCTAACGAAGGGATCACCGGTGTATCCTTTCGGACAAGTACAAACAGCCATGTGGTTCACCACTAAGCATTGCGCCCCTTGGCCACAAGAACCTGGGCAAGGGTCGGTACACCTCTGTCTCAAGCAAGCTCTGTCGCTGCTACACTCAGAATCGATGGTACATTCTGGACGACAGTTGGGTGGGCTTCCTATGTAGTTCTCCATGCAAGAGCAGCTTGACAGTTGCGTGTTATCGAGTATACGACAAACAGAGAATGGACCGCAAGGTGATGGCACGCAAGGATTCACGGGCTCGGCTATCACTAATGGGAAAAATGTGGTTAATATGTTGTGCAAACATACAGGTGCTCCTAGCTAAAACCTTGTACGTTTAGCTAGTAGACCTGTTTATGGAATCCGACAGTGTGACGGCTACTCACTTGGAACCTTGAAACATCTCACGAAAGAATCACCAGTGAAACCAGCGTTACAGCTGCAGATCGGACTGTGATTGATCGCTTCGCATCTAGCATTGATACCGCAAATACCAGTGCAAGGATCCACGCATTTGCGGTTCTTGCACGCACGGTTCGTGGCGCAATCCGAGCTAACTGTACACTCTGGTCTACACATCGGCGGTGTTCCAAGGAAGGTGGGTGAACAGGAGCAAATTGCTTGGCCATTGGACACGCGACACCGACTGTTTAATCCGCAAGGTGACGGGTTACATGGGTCAGTTGGTCTCGCTGGAAAAGTATTTCCATTAGACTGTGATCAAAAGTTCACGCTATTTAACACTAAAGCTACCAGACGGGTCAAAATGACCCATTTCTGATTCCTTCTTTTTGCAATTATTAAAAAGATAATGGCTGTTTCTCTGAGAAATTATTGAAGCAATTGAATTAGCAATGCAAACTGAATTATCAATGAAAATCTCGTTAGATACAATTTTGAAGTTTCCATAGAGAAATTTCAGAAAGTCGATTCAACTGCTCGGTAGTTTCAGTGTTGGTCTACTTACGTTGTTCTTGAATAATATTGCACTGGGTGAATGGGTCACCGGTAAATCCTACTTGGCAAGAGCAAAGCGGAGCATGACTGACAACTTGGCAGACAGCGTTGTATCCGCAGAATCCTGGACAAGGATTCTGACACTTGGACCTGATGCAAGCTCTGTCTGCCGTGCAGTCGGAATTGATGACACATTCTGGTCGACACCCTTCGTAAGGGTTGCCGACGTAATCAGGGAGGCACCTGCAGGACGCAGCGCCATTCTGTTCGTTACAGATTGCGTTTGATCCGCAGGGGGATGGCACACATGGCGTGGGTTTCTTAGTCGTGTCCTCAATGGCTACAAAGACGTATTCTTTGGTACTCGAGTTTGCTACTTACTGTATTATTGGGTTTGTGGATGAATGATCTCTTACCTGGTCTTGGTAGACATTGTACAAATGGATCTCCCATGTAACCATAAGAACAGACACACATTGGAGTGTGACTTATCACGCGGCACTCGGCGTTAGCGCCACAGGAACCCGGACAGGGGTCACGACATTTCTGATTGATACATGCTAAGTGGGTGGAACACTCGCTGTTGCTTATGCACTCAGGTTTACAATTGGGAGGAGATCCAAGAAACTCGGGCAAACATGAGCAAGAGGGTGAGTTATTTATGACTTGACACCGACTATTTGGACCGCAGGGTGTTGGTACGCATGGGTTTAGAACTTGTGGCTCCTCTTCTGTCGAAGAGAATAAAAGTATTAGCTGGATCGTTACACAGTAGTTATTAATTGATTCTCTATTGATTGGAAGTCGTTTACTCACGTTTTCTGATACACATTGTGAAGGGGTTGCCAGTCAGATCCGAGGGGCAGCTGCAAATTGGATTGTGGTTCACTACCACGCATTCTGCTCTGATGCCACAAGTGCCAGGGCATGGGTCTATACACTTCTGATTGTTGCATGCCATATTAGATGGACAGTCGGAACTAAGGATACACTCTGGCCTACAATTGGGTGGAGTACCTAGGTAGCTAGGGATGCAAGAACAAACTGCTTGATCATTTATCTTTCTGCACTGACTGTTGGGTCCACATGGTGTTGGGTTGCAGGGATCTTGGGGCGCTTGCACTGTTAAACAATTTAGAATGGATAAATGATATGTTGTCTAATACAATAGAGGTGAAAGAATTATCACATGGTTTTTAAAGTTATGTGTACCTTGCACAGTGGAGCAAACTACAAACGCGTTTCCTGATGTTCCTGGTGGGCATGTGCAAACAGGAACGTGATTAACGACAGAACACAAAGCATTCTGTCCACAAGTTCCTGTACAGGGGTTGTTACATTTGTTCCTAATACAAGCTCTGTCTCTTGGACAATCTGAGTTCAGTACACATTCTGGGCGACAACCCAAAAATGGATCTCCTTGATACTCAGGTAAACAAGTACAGACACCCTCCTGACATTGTGTGTTCGTACCGCAATTGGCACATGAATCCTTAGGTTGGTCCACAGCCACTGATTGATTAAAAGTTCCAAATGAATTATGAGGCAACATCTTATTCAGTAAAACGATTATTTTGCATTATCTAATCATACCTATAGCAGGGGAACATCTCACGAAAGAGTCACCAGTGTATCCTTCAGGGCAAGTACAAATAGGTGTATGATTGAACACTGAACATTCAGCCCCTACACCACAAACTCCTTCGCACGGATACCGACACTTCTTTTGAATGCAAGCTTGATCACGAGGACACTCTGAATTTCGAATACATTCTGGTCTACAATTTGGCGGTGTTCCCATATAGTCTGCTTGACAAGCACAGGATGCCTGACCATTTATGTCTCGACATTCAGAGAAAGGTCCACATGGCGAAGGTACACAGGGGTTCACGTACGACGGGACGGTTGGTGATTTTTCTATTAGAATAAATATTTACTCACAAAGTGTTGCCATCAAAGATAGGTTAGTTGTGTTCTGTCAGGAGAGAAACTTACTCGGCATCTCGAAGCAGGCTACGAGGGGATCGCCAGTGAATCCTGGCTGACAAGCGCATATAGCATTGTGGTTAATTATTTCACACCTAGTATTCGAGCCACAAGATCCAGGACAGGGATCGCTACACTTTTGATTGATACAAGCCAACTTGGAGGAACATTCTGTGCTAATCGTACATTCTGGTCTGCATGCAGGTGGACTACCCATGAATTCAGGTAAACATGAACAAACTGATTGTCCATTGATGGGCTTACACTGACTGTTGGGTCCACAGGGTGAAGGGTTACAGGGTCTACTGATTGTCTGGTCAACTTCTATAAATGAATTGTCAATTGTCATATTTTCTAAAAGTAATTGGTTTTGGCATGGATTGTATATTGGTAATAGAATTGTGTTCTATAATTCCTGGTTTTGGAGGAACGTACCTGGTTGAACTGGTGTACAGAGGACAAAAGCGTTGCCAGTGTGTCTGGGGAAACACTCGCAAACAGGTAAATGATTGATAATATGGCACTCAGCATTGCGGCCACAAGTTCCTGGGCAGGGATCTCTGCATCTATTGTTCATGCATGCTTGGTTCGAGGGACAATCAGAGTTCAAAAGACACTCGGGTCGACATCCTTCATACGGGTTACCAATGTAATTTTGAATACAGGTACACGAGCCTGCACCATTCAATTCTTTGCATACAGCATTCGACCCACAAGGGGATGGATTGCATGGATCACCGGGTGTAGGGACGCTCACAGCTGTAAGATTGGTACATTAGAGACTGAAAATCTGCGAAAAATGTCAACTTAACAATTCCAAGATTCTTACGTTCTTTAAAGACACACTGGGTGAATGGATCCCCAGTGTATCCGTTCAGACAGGTACACATAGGGGTGTGACTAACAACATAACAATTAGCACTGGCACCGCATGATCCTACGCAAGGATCTTGACACTTCTGATTGATACAAGCCAACAGACTTGGACATTCGCTGTTACTGACGCACTCCGGCCTGCAATTGGGTGGGCTTCCTGAGAATCCTGAGGTACACGAACACGATGGCGAGTTATTAATCACTTGACACTGAGAGTTGGGGCCGCAAGGTGATGGCTGACAGGGATCTACTACTGGTTCCTCGACTGCAATTGATAAAACTTAATGATACAATGTTTCTAATATTTAACCGAAATATGGCTTGGAAAATCACGAGTTCTTACAGAATGGTACGCATTGGACAAATGGATCTCCGGTATAACGTAATGGACAATTGCATATAGGATTATGGTTGACAATGTTACACTCGGCGCCGATGCCGCAAGTTCCAAGGCACGGATTCAAACATTTTTGATTGCTACAAGCTTCGTTCTGCGGGCAATCTGTGCTGACTATGCATTCCGGCCTACATGTGGGTGGACTTCCCAAATACCCCCTGATGCACGAGCAAACCGCTTGTCCGTTAACAACGCGACATTCGCTGTTCGGGCCACAGGGTGTTGGGCTACATGGGTTTATAGGTATCATATCTGACAAAAAGAAAAGTGTTATTTTGCTTCTTCCTTGAGGAACATTTCACTAAAGGTGTCGTCATGCAGATGAGTAAATACCTTGCAAAGCGTTGCATTGACTGAATGCATTGCCAGTCATATTACCAGGGCAGCTGCACATAGGAACGTGATTGATAACTGTACAAATGGCGTTGAAGCCACAAGTGCCCTGACAAGGGTCCATACACTTATTACGCAGACAAGCTCTGTCTCTGGGGCAGTCTGTGTTTAGAACACATTCTGGTCTGCATCCTAGATAGGGATTTCCTTGGAATTCTGGTAAACATGTACAAACGCCTCTTAAGCATTCTGCATTGGGACCGCAGGGTGACGGGCTACATTCATCTTTTTCTGGTCTCGGTGGAGCTGTAAAGTTAAATTGTCAGTGAGATGTAGCTGGAGACGATTCAAATAATTTCAATTCAATCCATTCGGCCATGAAAATCATTGGGGTTCTTACATGTAGCTGGTACCAACTGGCAAACGGTAAATGGATTGCCAGTGAAACCTTCAGGGCAGTTACACACAGGAATGTGGTTCACAACTGCGCACACAGCACCGGAACCACAAGAGCCGGGACACGGGTCTCTGCACTTCATGTTTATACACGCCACGTGACTCTGACACTCAGAGTTGATTGTACATTCAGGTCTGCAGTTGGGTGGCTGTCCAATGTAACCCTCTAAACAGGTGCACGCGGGTGATCCGCGAATATTTCTACACTGGGCGAAATTACCGCACGGAGAGGGTACGCACGCGTCTGTCTCCATTGGGCCGGGGATTGCAACAGCTAAAAGTTGTCATGAATGGACACGATTAAGTGGATTCTTATGGTGGGTGGATCGAAAACATTAGTAAATCGTCTTACGTTGAACCGGTGCACAGGTAGTGAAAGGATCTCCACTGTATCCAGGCATGCAACTACAGATGGGACTGTGATTAACCACGATGCACTTAGTGTTCAATCCGCAAGGACTGGGGCACGGGTTCACGCATTTATAATCCTGGCATGCAAGCTGGGTGGGGCATTCAGAACTAGAGACACATTCGGGTCTACATCCAGGTGGAGTACCAACGTAGGTTGCCAGGCAAGAGCATACAGCTTGACCGGAAACTTCTTTGCACTGACTGTTTGGTCCACACGGTGATGGACTACAGAGGTTTACTACCATAGGTACCGCTACAGGGAAACAAATTAAAGTGTCAATCGTCAGTGTTGAACTCATCCGAGCCGGGTACTTATTCAGAAACAAGGAAACTTACTGTCCATGGTGCACACAACAAATGGATCACCTGTGAACCCTGGCCGACAAGTGCAGAATGGCTGATGGTTAACCACAGCGCATTCAGCATTTTGGCCACAGGTTCCAGGACAAGGATCTTGACACTTATTTCGTACACACATTTTGTTCGACGGGCAGTCAGGATTAATGACGCATTCGGGTCTACAGCCTACGTAGGGGTTGCCGATGTATTCAGGAGGGCAATAACAAATTCCGGCACCGTCTCGTTCTCTGCACAGCGCGTTCGTGCCACAAGTGGCTTCCGTACAGGGTGAGGGTTCCGGAACACGCACTAAAACAATGAAAAATTCAAGATTAGTCTCGTCCTCGACGGCCTTTGTCGTATGCCATGTTTCCCTTACTTATTATCGAGCAACGTGTATAGGGGTCGCCGGTAAGGCCGCTGGGGCAAACGCAATGGGGCACGTGATAGACTACATGACACTCTGCGCTCTCTCCACAGAGACCTGGGCAAGGGTCTTTGCACTTCTGTTGCACGCAGGTTTGGTGGCTGGGGCACTCGGAGTTGGCTATGCACTCGGGTTTGCAGTTAGGCGCAATTCCTTTGTATTCGGGTAAACATGTACACGATGGGGAGTCATTGGTTACTTGGCATTGAGAGTATGGTCCACAGGGTGACGGTTGGCAAGGGTTTGTGGGCACTATTACCTCTTCTACAAATAAGTGGAAAATCGTTAAACCAAAAGATCTCCAATATATCTGACTAATGATTCAATATAGACTTCATAGAAGTTTCACAATTGGTTATAGTACTTGAATTCAGTGTCTTACTGATCATATCACATCTGATGAATGGATCTCCAGTGTATCGTTCTGGACAGGAGCAAATAGGATTGTGATTGACCACCAAGCATCTGGCTAGAATACCGCAAGTGCCGATACAAGGATCTCTGCATTTCTGATTCACGCAAGCTTTGTTCTTTTGACAATCTGAACTAACTACACATTCCGGCCTGCACAGAGGCGGAGTTCCTTGGTAGTCAGCTGCACAAGTGCATACAGCTTGATCGTTTACTTCTCTGCAGATGCTATTTGGACCGCATGGGGATGGATTGCATGGTCTAGTCGTTGAAGGAACTACGATCCAACAGTTTATAAGTTATAAAAGTGATCTGCATGAGTCCACTATTTATCAAGAAGCAAATGATCTATACCTTGCACGGGTGAGCATAAGATCAACGCATTTCCTACAGTACCAGGAGGACAACTACACATGGGTATATGGTTGATCGCTCTACAATTAGCATTTTGACCGCAAGCTCCAGGACATGGGTCGATACACTTGTTCTGTATGCAAGCTCTGTCCGTTTGACAGTCTGCATTCAGTACGCATTCGGGTCGACAACCAACGTAAGGGTTACCAGAGTACTCGGGCAGGCAAGTACAGACACCATTGTTGCACTGAGTATTTGGCCCACAAGGGGAGCTGGCGCATGGGTCTGTTACAGGTTCTTCTGCTGTTTTAATGATTAAATATTAATAGAGATTTTTATGGATACAATACTTGGAGGTCTATCCTTAATATCTTAAGGTTCATAAGCTTACTTATTGGTTTCGGTTGGCAACTACTGAACGGATCACCAGTATAACCCTCCAAGCAAGTGCAGATGGGAACATGATTGTGAACCGCACAATTACTGTTCAGACCACAAGATCCTAAACAAGGATCTTGGCACTTCTCGCGGATACACGCTTGATCTCTCGGGCAATCGGCGTTGATTACACACTCTGGGCGACAGTTTGGCGGGGCACCGATGTAATTAATTAAACACGAGCACGAAGGAGATCCATTTATGTTTCGGCATTGAGAGTTAGGTCCGCAGGGTGAGTTAACACAGGGATCGTCTGGAGTATCCATAACGGGAGGAGCTAGAATGAAATAATTATGTTCATCCGTCACTCCAACGTGAATGGATTCGTTTAAACGTACAGAGATTACTAAATGCTTACATGGATTGAAGAAGCATCGAGTAAAGGGGTCACCGGTGAAACCTGGTTTGCAAGAGCAGATAGGACTATGATTTACAACTCTACAAGTACTTTGTTGACCACAAGAACCAGGGCACGGGTCAATGCATTTGTTATTTCTGCACGCGAGATTCAGTGGACAATCAGAGCTGACTGTGCACTCTGGTTTGCAATTAGGTGGTGTTCCTGTATAAGTTGGCAGACAGGAACATGTAGCTTGACCATTCGATTCTCTGCACTGACTGTATGGCCCGCAAGGCGATGGTTCACAAGGGTTGGTGAGAGTAGGGCCAGGTACTAGAATCGGATGAAGTTTCATGTAACTCTCTGACTAATGGGTGCATATGAAATTATATTCTAAATGCATCAGAGTATATCTTACGTGGTTCTCTTAAAGGATTGCAGTACACGAAAGGATCTCCCGTGTACCGTTCCAAGCAACTGCAGGTAGCTGCATGATTAACTACATAACATTGTGCGTTTTGTCCACAAGTTCCAGGGCAAGGATCTTTGCACTTGGACCGGATGCAGGCTTGATTGGATGGACAATCTGAGCTGAGCGTACACTCAGGTCTACATCCTTCGTACGGGTTGCCTATGTAGTCGTTTTGGCAAGAGCAGGAAGCTACGTTTTGTTGCATCTGACAAATTGCGTTCGCTCCGCAAGGTGATGGGGTACAAAGATCTGGTCTCGGGACTTGGACATCAACTGTAAGAGTAAGACGTTGGAACTTAATTCTGACTCTCAGTGGTATTGAAAGATTTATCGAGTGATCACCAAGGATTAGTCCTTACATTGCTGAGGTGAACACTGTGTAAAGGGATCCCCGGTGTAACCACTCGTGCAGGCACACATGGGTGTGTGACTAACAACGTTGCAAACCGAATTGACTCCACATGAATTCACGCAAGGATCTTGACATCTCTGATTGATGCAGGCGAATTGATTGGGACATTCGCTGTTGCTGACACACTCGGGGCGACAGTTAGGGGGCGATCCAATGTATTCTCTCAAACATGAGCAGGATGGCTGATCGTTTATCACTTGGCAGTCTGCGTTTGGACCACAGGGGGACGGTTGACAAGGATTCACTGGGGCCACTGGTTTCGTAGCTTCAAGATTAAGAAAGGTTTCATTAGTCTTGAGTTGTTTCGTGGAGAAAGTATCTTGCATTATGATTTAATAGTTCCTTACGCATTGGGTAACACTGAACGAAAGGATCACCGGTCATCTGTTCACGACAGACGCATATCGGATTGTGATTAATGACATTGCATTCAGTGTTAAGCCCGCAAGTTCCTATACAAGGGTTCCGACATTTCTGGTTGGTACAAGCTTCGTTCAATGGACAGTCTGAACTGACCACACACTCTGGCCTACAAGTTGGGGGAGTACCAATATATCCGGTTACACAAGAACATACTGCTTGATTGTTGTTCTGTCTGCATTGACTGTTGGGACCACACGGAGATGGGTTGCAGGGATCACTGATCATAGTTACTAAAATTATTCATGATTGTTGGAATTAATCTTCATCTACCTCTGCCTGTCAAAGAAACTTGTGTGCATTAAGAAGCATACCTGGGGCAGGGGAGCAAAGTACAAATGCATTTCCTGACATTCCTGACGGGCAACTGCACATAGGAATGTGATTGAAAACGTTGCATATTGCATTCTGTCCGCAGATACCGTCGCATGGGTCGACGCATTTGTTTCGAACACACGCTCTCGTCGCTGGACATTCGTTACTCAAGACACACTCTGGTCTACAACCAATGTATGGGTCACCAGAATACTCTGGTAAACAAGTGCACACTTTGTTACTGCACTGAGTATTGGAACCGCAAGACGCACATGGATCCGTTTCGATGGGACGATCTACTAGAAAATATGTTACTTCAAGTTACATTCCTCGTTGTGGTTGATAGCTACTATCAAACATCTTACATGCAAGGGCACAGCTGCTGAAAGGGTCCCCGGTGTAACCAGGTTGACAGGAACATATTGGTACATGATTGACTACACTGCATTCGGCACGGAAACCGCAAGAACCAGGGCACGGGTCTCTGCACCTTTGTTGCGTGCAGGCTTGGTTTGCAGGACAGTCTGCATTAATTGTGCACTCGGGTCGACAGTTTGGTGGACTTCCGACGTAAGTTGCCAAACAAGAGCAAGAGGGAACTCCGCCAATGTTCCGACATTCCGAATAAGCACCACACGGTGATGGGATGCATGGGTCTTTGGGGAAACGGTCGTATTCGACTGGTGCTATCACTGGAATTTGGAGCACAGATTGTTGGAATTATCTCGAGCAATGAAACTGGACTTCTATATGAAGCATTAGGTACCAACGGGTAAATACAATTTTGAAATGATACTCACATGGAACTGAGAAACAAACAGTGAACGGATCACCTGTGTATCCATTCATACAACTACAAAGTGGCGCATGATTGATGACTCTACAGTCTGTGTTCTGTCCGCAAGAGGCAGGACACGGGTTTACACATTTCTGATTTACACAGGCTTTGTCGGAAGGACATTCTGAACTGGTGACGCATTCTGGTCTACATCCTGGAGGTGTACCAATGTACGTTGGGAGGCAGGAACAAACTGCTACTTGATTAATTGCTCTACATTGACTGTTCGGTCCGCATTGGGATGCACCGCATGGGTCTTTTGTGATAACATCCGGAACTGAGGAATATTTTGGTAAATAACAATTGTTCGACAAGTGTACCATGGTAAAATACAAGAAACACGATCACCCTGACTTACCAGCTGGTTGAACAGTGCAATACCGATAGGGATCACCAGTGTAGCTTGGGTAGCAAGCACAAGAAGCTCTGTGATTAATAACATTGCATTCTGCATTGGTACCACAGACTCCTGGACAGGGGTCGACACATTTTGAATTGATACAAGCTCGAGTAGGCGAGCAATCTGAATCTAACACACATTCTGGCCTGCATCCTTCATAAGGGTTTCCTGTGTAATCCGAGAGACATGTACAAGCACCCACGTCATTCCTTTCGGTGCATTGTGCATTAGGTCCACAAGGTGAGGGCAAACATGGATTCACTTGTTGGTCTTCGACTAAAAGTAACAACACATTGGGTGTTTAAAATGAGTTGAAATATTTTCTGGAAATTGTAATTCAACCATTGGGTCGCGTTGGCCCAATGACAAAGATTGCAATCGAATATCTTACTGGGTCTGATAGAGCATTGTATGAATGGATCGCCGGTGAAGTCCACTTCGCAGTAGCACATAGGAGTGTGACTGACAGTGCGACATTGCGCGTTGGTACCGCAAGAACCAATGCAAGGATCTCTGCACTTTTGATTGACGCAGGCTTGATTGCTCGGGCATTCGCTGTTACTAATACATTCGGGTCTGCAATTTGGAGGAGCGCCGATAAAGCCGGATATGCAAGTGCAAGAAGGAGAACTTCCTGAGATTTGGCATTGAGCGTTTGGTCCACAAGGCGACGGTTGGCAAACGTTTATCGGTTCTGGCGGCTGGGGCGCTACAAATATTATTGTTTGAATATCGTATAAAGTTACTTATAAATAACAGATCGGATTGTAATCTGAGGTAACAATGAACACAACTTACGGAGTGGTATGCATCGAATGAAAGGATCACCCGTGAATCCTTCAGGACAGTGGCATATAGGGTTACGATTGGCTACTGTACAACGAGCTCCCAACCCACAGGTACCAATACAAGGATTCCTACACTTCTGATTAGTACAGATCTCATTCGGAGGACAATCAGAGCTCACGATACACTCAGGACGACAATTCGGTGGATTTCCTAGGTAACCCGGCACACAACTACAGATTGCCTGCCCGTTATTAGCTCGACACTGACTGTTCGGTCCACAGGGCGATGGAGTGCACGGAGAGGACGGAACATCGGCTATTGGAAGATTGTCAATATAAATTCTAGTTCTCTCTGGAATCTTCTTTAACACTAGAACAACCGAGCAGTCAAATCGACTCCAGATTTGTCTATAGGAGCTCTAAGAATACAGCTACTAACATTTCAATTGACTTATGATTCCATTTGGGTATCACTAAGTCAATTTCTGCAGTAATTCCGCAGAGAAGCATTTGTTATCTTCTTAATAATTGGAAATGAAAAACGTAAACAAGTCAATTTGACCCATCTGGTAGTTCTAGTGTTGAAATTGCTGATATAATTTTGTTACCTATGGCAGGGCGACAGTAAGCGAAAGCATTTCCTTCAAAACCTGCTGGACAACTACACATTGGTATGTGGTTCACCACCGTGCACAATGCGTTGCTCGCGCAAGTGCCCAAACAAGGATCTTCGCACTTGTTCCTGACGCAAGCTCTGTCTCGAGGACAGTCATTGTTCAATACACACTCTGGCCGACAACCGACAGTTGAGTCTCCATAGAACTCAGGCAAGCAGGAACAAATGCCATTGTCGCATTGAGCGTTCGGACCGCAAGGAGATGGGTTGCAAAGGTCTACTTCCGTTGGCTCAACTGGTTATCAAAATGTCAAGAAATCAGTTTTACAATCTAGACGATACTCTCTGAAGGATGTTCCTCGGGATTGACTACTTACTGGATGGAATCTTCTGATCGCAACGACTGAAAGGATCTCCAGTGTATCCTTCGATACAAGAGCAAACGGGTACGTGATTGAACACCGAACACTGAGCGTTCAAACCGCAAGAGCCTGGGCAAGGGTCTCTACATTTTTCACGGATACAGGCTTGATTACTGGGACACTCGGAATTGATTGTACACTCTGGTCTGCAATTCGGCGGGCTGCCACGATACTCTGGCGAACAGGTGCAGGCTGGGGTTTGTCCCACGTTTTGGCAAATGGCGTTTGGACCACAGGGGGACGCCAGGCATGGGTCTCTTTGCACCGGTGGTGATGGCTCTAGCGAGGTTTCTAAACAGCGTTGATAGTGAAGATACAGTACACCGATAAAAATTATAACAGACTTTAACCCCTTGTCCTACAACGAGTGAGACTCATGGTGAATATTTTCAACGTGATTCAACTATATGTTACTCAGTTTACTCGAATTCAAAGTAAATATTCATCTGTGATCAACTGTTATACTTAAAAGAAAATATAGATATAACATATGCTTAGAATTTTCCTTTTTCCAATAAATTATTAATGATAAAGTAGTGGTATTGATCAGAGTTGATAAAGAAATCATAGGCCAAGGGGTTGATATGGAATTGCAGCTCATACCAGGAGCTCGGAAGCAGGCAGTGAACGGATCTCCAGTGAATCCATTATTACAGAAGCAAATTGGACTGTGATTGATGATCCTGCAGTTGGCGTTCACGCCGCATGAGTTTGGACAAGGGTCCGTACACTTTTGGTTCACACAAGCACGAGTCAAAGGACACTCCGTGCTGACCACGCACTCGGGTCTGCAGTTTGGTGGGCTTCCAACGTACTCTGAGAGACAAGTGCACACTGCTTGATTCTTGTTCACACGACATTGGCTGTTGGGGCCGCAGGGTGATGGATTGCACGGATCAACTACTTGTGTATCTTCTAAAAGAATGTATGGAGACGTCGAATATCGTTAGCTTACTATTTCCAGTTTAATCAATAGCTAGATTGTTTTACTAAGTGGCGAATGCTTACGGTTCACTGGACTCAAATTACAGTATCTAAACGGATCTCCAGAGTATCCCTGAACACACGTGCACATGGGAACGTGGTTCACCGCGTTGCAAATGGCGTTCTGGCCACAAGCACCCGGACAAGGATCCCGGCACTTAGATCTCACGCAAGCAAGATTCTCGGGACAGTCAGAATTCACAACGCACTCAGGTCTACAGCCTTCGTACGGGTTTCCAACGTAGTCAGGCAGGCAAGAGCAAGTGCCTGCGTTCCCTGATTCCCTGCACACCGCGTTAGCGCCACATGGCGATGGAACACACGGGGCGGGTCTTTCTTCTTCAACTGGGGAATCAATGTAAAATTCAATTCAATATGCAGAAAATATTAGTTTCTCAACGCGGTACTCTTTGGCGGTAGACGAAGGCGGAATGTAATTACGCAGTTTGAGACAGGGGACTTACTTGGGACTGGCGTACACTGCACAAAGGGATCGCCGGTGAATTCTGATCGGCAAGAGCAAATAGGAGTGTGACTGAACACGCTGCAGTCAGCGTTGGCACCGCACAAACCGGGACACGGGTCCTTGCATTTCTGATTGATACACGCCTGACGAATAGGACATTCGCTGTTGGTAACGCACTCAGGCCTACAGTTCGGCGGAGACCCCGAGAATTCTGGTAGACATGTACACGCTGGCGCTTGGTTCACGACTTGGCATTGAGCGTTTGGACCGCAAGGTGACGGGTAGCAAGGGTTGACAGGTGTCGGAGGTTGTTCAACTGGAGGATTGATTGAAATCGTAAGTTACAAATGCACTTTCCAGGGTTTCATTTGTTGCAATAGGATTCTTTCTCTGTAACTTCTCACCTATGGGCACGCAGCTGGTGAACGGATCACCGCTCATGCTCGGCGGACATCTGCAGATAGGGTTGTGATTCACTACTGAACACTCCGCTCTTAAAGCGCAGGATCCAGGACAAGGGTCTGTGCATTTTTGGTTGATGCAGGCTCTCGTCAACTCGCAATCCGAGCTGACAACGCATTCCGGCCTACAAGTTGGCGGATTTCCGACGAAACCTTCTATGCATTTGCAAACCGCGACTCCGTTGACTTCTTGGCAATGACTGTTCGGTCCGCAAGGCGATGGCGAGCAAGGTTTCAAGGCTAGGGGCTCTGATAAGGGCAGAGAAGATGTAAGTGATAGAATTCTGTATGAGATTGCAATGTTTTGGAATAATAAATTGACTCGATGGTGTACCCTCTACTGGAGAACAAGAGATGAAAGCGTTCCCTGACATTCCCACAGGACAACTGCACATTGGTATGTGATTTATGGTCTGGCACTGTGCACTTTGACCGCAGGTTCCTATGCACGGATCCACGCACTTGTTTCTCATGCATGCTCTGTCTCGGGGACAGTCATTATTCATTACACACTCGGGACGACAACCGGAGTACGGATCCCCTTGATATTCTGGGAGACACGAGCAAGAACCGTCGCGACAGAGCGCATTTGGACCGCATGGCGATGGATTGCAGGGGTCTGAGACTGGTTCCTCAGCTACATGTAAATTAGAAATCAACATAGAAAAATCAAGTGTCTAAGATATTCTGAATAGAAGGTATCGAAATGACAGTAGTGGTGGGCCACTCACAAATGCTAGGCTTCAATATACAGCTGCTGAAAGGATCTCCAGTGTATCCTTCGGGGCAAGAACAAACTGGAACATGGTTCATAACGGTGCACCTAGCTCCAAAACCACAAGATCCTGGACAAGGGTCCATACACTTTTCCCTGATGCACGCTAAAGCGCTAGAGCACTCAGCGTTGATTGTACACTCTGGTCTACAGTTTGGTGGGATACCAATGTAAGAAGACAAACAGGAGCAAGACGGATTTCCTCCAATGTCTCTGCATTGGGAGTATGGGCCGCAAGGGGATGGCAGACATGGATCTTGTTGAGCAGGTTTTGGTAATTCCGATGGTGGACCTATGGGGTATAAAAATCAGTACATCTATTCACAGGTTTTCGCCTCTGAATGAAGTAAGAAAAAGATACAAACGTGGAGTGGGGAAGCAAACAGAAAAGGCATCGCCAGTGAATCCTTCCTGACAGGAGCATATTGGACTGTGATTAATGATTCTGCAAACGGTGTTCCTTCCGCAGGGATCTGGGCAAGGGTCAATGCACTTTTGATTCACACAGACGCGGTTCGAAGCGCATTCAGCGCTCGCTACACATTCTGGTCTACATCCAGGTGGAGAGCCAAGGTATTCAGGTAGACACGAGCAAACTGCTTGCCCGTTGTTCTCTCTACAAACACTGTTAGGTCCGCAGGGTGACGGCTGACACGGGTTCTTTACACTTGGTACAGTGACTATTGAATAAAAGATCATGTTAAAATTTAGACTCTTCATAATCCCAAATGAGACTTATCTATGAGACCACGTACCAATCTCTTCTTCGCGACAGAATCTGAATGGATCTCCAGTGAACCTGGGCAAGCAACTACAAGTTGCCATATGATTGATAACCTGGCAAACAGCGTTCTGGCCGCAGGTGCCAGGACAAGGGTCCTCGCACTTGAAGCTGACGCAGCTTTTGCTTGGGACACAGTCTGAATTAAGGACACACTCTGGTCGACAACCTTCGTATGGGTTTCCAATGTACCCTGACAAGCAGGAGCATGATCCTACACCGTTTCTGTCTCTGCACAGAGCGTTCGCTCCGCAGGGAGATGGTACACAAGGTTTCGGTACGTACATTGGGATGACTAAAAGAAGAACAGTCATTGAAATTCTGAAGACGCTTAGACTCGGATGTGTTCCACCGGATGGAACGGTTCTTACGTTTTTCCACGACACACTGAGTGAACGGATCTCCGCTGTATCCAGGGGAGCAGCTGCAGATAGGCGTGTGAGACACCACACGACACACCGCGTTCGTTCCACAAGATCCCGGGCAAGGATCTCTGCATTTCTGATTGATACACGCCATGTTATTTGCACACTCATTATTGCTTACGCATTCGGGTCTACAATTGGGCGGTGAACCAATGAATTCTGATAGACAAGAACAAGATGGGGAATCATTGACAACTTGACACTGTGCGTTTGGACCACACGGTGATGGCACACAAGGGTTCTCTCGAGGTGGTTCTTCCAGTGCTGAAATAGAATTCGATTGAAGTCTTTAATACAATGCAGACTCTTGATAACTAAGTTAAAAGTCGGATGACTCTTACGTTTCTCAAGACATCTGACAAACGGATCGCCGGTTAATCCCTCGAGACAGCTGCAAAGTGGATTGTGGTTTACCACTTGGCAAGTTGCTCTTATCCCACAAGTTCCAACGCACGGATTACTGCATTTCTGATTGATACATGCTTCCGTTGGCCCACAGTCAGTGCTTACTATACACTCTGGCCTGCAGGTAGGTGGTATACCCACAAAACCAGGGATGCAAGTGCACACTGCTTGGTTATTAACTTCTCTGCACTGACTGTTCGGTCCGCAAGGTGTTGGGTTGCAGGGATTACTAACAACTGGGTCTGATTGGGAATGAGAATTTCATTAATCCGAAACACGATCAAGCTCCAATCAAGTAATCATCGCAACTACTCTACCTCTAAATGGACTGCAAGATATGAACGCGTTTCCGGTCATTCCGACAGGACAACTGCACATGGGCACGTGGTTGTACACATTGCAAACTCCATTTTGACCGCAAGTGCCAACACAGGGGTCTACACACTTGTTGCGCAGACAAGCCCTGTTCAAGGGACAATCGGTATTCAGAACGCATTCCGGGCGACAACCGACATAGGGATTGCCTTGATATTCTGACAGACACGTGCAGACACCATCATTGCATTGCGCATTAGAACCACAGGGCGATGGATTGCATGGGTCCTCAGCTACTAGCACTTCAGCTACAATTGTGTCACATATACATTAAAGGAATCTATTGAATCATGACTTCAAACTATTGCTTATGGTCTTACGTGGAGCAGGGGAACAACTGCTGAAGGGGTCGCCGGTGAAATCTTCTATACAGGTACAGATTGGCACGTGATTGAAAACTGTGCACCTTGTTGCCACTCCACAAGAGCCAGGGCAAGGGTCAGTGCATCTCTGTCGTATGCAAGCTCTGTCGCTGGGACAGTCAGTGTTTACTGTACACTCTGGCCGACAGTTCGGTGGGCTGCCGAAGTAATTAGCTAAACAGGAACAAGACGGGGCGCCACCAATGTTCCGACACTCGGAGTAGGGACCACAGGGGGAGGGTACGCAGGGGTTCTGAGGTAGATCTGGTAACGTTGACGGTGCTGCAGGATTTATCACTTGCTTAATTAACAATGTTCAATTATTTCGCTGCTCTCATGAATGGAAAAATTCAATTGAATGACTTACGTGGAAGAGGGAAACACCTGGTGAACGGATTGCCAGTGTTTCCGTCTTTGCAGGTACAAATGGGACTGTGGTTCACGACTAGACAATTTGTGTTCTGCCCGCACGGACGGGGACAGGGGTTTACGCATTTCTGGTTCACACAGGCTCGGTTCGAGGGACACTCCGAGCTTACGACGCACTCGGGGCGGCAGGAGGGAGGACTTCCGGTGTACTCGGGGAGGCAGGAACATACAGCGTTACCGGAAACCGCACGACATTGACTGTTTGGTCCGCAGGGGGATGGAACGCAAAGATCCGTTGGATCTCTGACTACGTCTGAGAGGTAAAGAAAATCGATTGGTAATTAGAACATTCCTTAAAACCCCCGGGATTGTATCTTTTAATTTGTTAATTGGGGAACATCGGACATTCTCTTTACTCATTCTTGCCTCTAATAGGACTCCACATATTCAAAACGTTCCCCCATGGACAGATTAAAAGAACAATGGGCTCCATCTCCAATAAAAAATGAATCACCCTCCACGGTATATATACTTTACCAGGTTCTCTAACAACTTGGCAGTATCTGAACGGATCTCCGGTGTAACCAGAGTTGCAGGAGCAAGTGGGCGAGTGGTTGATGACTTGGCAGACAGTGTTCTGTCCGCAGGTGCCGGGACAGGGGTCCTGGCACTTATTTCTAACGCAAGCGAGGTTCGAGGGGCAGTCTGTGCTAACCGTGCACTCGGGGCGACATCCTTCGTAGGGGTTACCGATGTAGTCCGACAGACAGGAACAAGAGCCGACGCCGTCCTGCTCTTTGCAAACGGTGTTCGAACCGCACGGGGACGGCGAGCAAGGGGTGGGTGGTCCTGACGGTGAAAGTAACGTTTAACAACTGGTATCCGCCTCGCGCGATCAGACTGTCGAACAAAATGCATTACGATTGTCGAATTGGACGCATTGCGTGAACGGGTCACCCGTGTATCCGCCGGAGCAGACGCACATGGGGGTGTGGCTGACCACGCGACACTCGGCGTTCGCTCCGCAGGAGCCGGGACAAGGATCCCTGCACTTTTGGTTCATGCAAGCGAGATGACCGGCGCACTCGCTGTTGCTGACGCACTCCGGCCGACAGTTCGGCGGGGAACTCACGAATCCAGGCATACAGGTGCAGGACGGGGAGTCGTTTACTACCTGGCAGAGAGCGTTCGGGCCGCAGGGTGACGGTTTGCAGACGTTTATGACTTCAGGCGCTGTCTCCACTAGAAAGTGTTCGACGGTTACTAATGGACATCAAGCTCCTCGTCGTTCATCTTAAGAACAATCCTTACTGATCGGGTCGCACTTCACGAAGGGATCTCCTGACGTTCCTCGAGGACAGCTGCATATAGGATTGTGATTGGAGACCTGACACTGCGCGCGGATGCCGCAGCTCCCCACGCAAGGGTTCACGCACTTCAGGTTGTTGCACGCCTCGGTTCTGGGGCAGTCTGAGCTGACCACGCATTCCGGCCTGCAGGACGGTGGGCTGCCCACGTATCCTTGGAGACACGTGCAGACCGCCTGTCCGTTCACGGCGCGGCAGAGACTGTTCTGACCGCAAGGGGACGGGTTGCACGGTGTCACCGGGGTCACTTCTGTAGATGCAAACGGCAGGATGCTTACTGCGCTCAGGGCGAAGGCGAGGTAACGAAGTACGCGTGGTCGAACGTTAGAAATTGCTACCTTGAACTTGGGTACATAGCACGAAAGCGTTCCCGCTCATCCGTTCGGGGCAACTGCACATGGGCACGTGATTGAACACGTTGCAAACTGCGTTCTGCCCGCACGTGCCGATGCAGGGGTCGGCGCACTTGTTGCGAACGCAGGCCCGATTGAGTGGACAGTCCGAGTTAAGGACGCACTCGGGTCGACATCCTGCGTAAGGATCGCCTCGGAATTCTGGGAGACAGGTGCAGACGCCGTTGTTGCACTCCGCGTTTGATCCGCATGGCGATGGGTTGCACGGATCGTCGGGAACTGGTGGTTCTAGAAGGCGCAGAGAAAGAGAATGCGATGGAGAACAGAGCTTTGAACGAGAGTTTGATGAACGAAGGACTGGGCGCGGGTGTCTTACGTTCGGGGGGTCTCAGGGTGCAGCTGGTGAACGGGTCACCGGTGTAACCCTCCATGCAGCTGCAGACAGGCACGTGGTTCAAGACGCTGCACTGGGCGAACGCGCCGCAGGAACCTGGACAGGGGTCTCTGCATTTTTCCCTGATGCAAGCTTGACTCGGGGAGCACTCGGAGTTCACTGTGCACTCTGGTCGACAGTTGGGGGGACTGCCGATGAAAGTTGGTAGACAGGAGCAGGAAGGTATGCCGTTGATGTCGCGACACTCTGCGTTTAGACCGCAGGGCGAGGGCACGCAGGGATTCGAGGGAATCACTGCTGGAGAGAGTTCTAGAAATTTGGAAGACGTTACATGTGTCAGTGCCACGAGAATAGGTTGATTCGATTTTAAAGTGAACTTGAACTCGATTGATATTTAAAATTCAGTGGTAGATTTTAGGGGACGTTCTCTCACCTGGCATCGGGAAGCAACGAGTAAATGGATCACCGGTGTACTTGGTTCTGCAGGCACAGATAGGACTGTGATGGATTACGTTGCACTCCGCGTCGAGGCCGCACGGGCCGGGACACGGGTTCGCGCACTTCTGATTGATACATGCTAAACTAGCAGGACACTCCGAGCTGACCACACACTCTGGTCGACAACCAGGCGGGTAGCCGCTGAAATTTGGCAAACAGGAGCAGACTGCCTGCTCGTTAACGACCTGGCAGTTGCTGTTTGGTCCGCAAGGTGTTGGGGAGCATGGGTTTCTCCTCTCAACTAGGATAGAGAGAAATGTATTAACATTTGGAAGACTAATCCCTAAGTATAGGCAACTAGTATGCATGATTCGTGTTTGATGGATTTTTGAAAAACAAGTTAATAAGTGAGCAGTAATTCTTCAATTTTTGAAACATAGCCAATGAATCATTTCCTTTCAATTTCACTCTAGAAGACAGGAACACGTTTATAGTATATCTTGACTGATAGCTAGAACTCTTAGAATTATCCAAAAAATTTAGTGTCTGCTTACTATCTTTCACAATCGGTTGACAAGACTGGTAGGGCTGCCCGGTGTAACTAGGGAAACAAGTGCAGGTTGGCAAGTGATTGACGACCTGACACTCAGCATTGCTGCCACAAGCGCCCGGGCACGGGTCCTGGCACTTGGAGCGAATGCAGGCGCGAGTCGACACGCAATCAGAGTTTATAACGCATTCTGGGCGACAGCCTTCATAGGGATTGCCAATGTAATCAGGCAAACAGGTGCAGGAACCTACTCCGCTCTGCTCCTTGCAGACTGCGTTCGAGCCGCAGGGCGACGGCGAGCAAGGAGAAGCAAAGGAAGATTCAATTTCAGCTGAAAATGAAAGTACATCGGTTATCCCTGTCCAGAGGAGCTTACTAACCGTGACACTAGTATCTTACGTCGTCTTTCCAAACACTGTGTGAAAGGGTCTCCGACAAAGCCCGCGAGACACACGCAAATCGCGGTGTGGCTCACGACTCTGCATTCAGCGTTGGCCCCGCAGGAACCGGGACAAGGATCGGTACACTTATTCCTCACGCAAGCCAAGTGGCTGGCGCACTCGCTGTTACTAATGCACTCTGGCCGACAGTTCGGCGGCGTTCCGATGAATTCAGGAATGCAGGAGCAAGAGGGCGAGTCGTTGTTCACTTGGCAGACCGCGTTGGGTCCGCACGGTGACGGGTAGCAGGGATTGACAGGGACCGTAGGCTCTTCCACTAAAATTGCCAACAGATTACGTTCCGCGCTCGCGTGTACATTGGAAACGACAGCGACAGAGAACGGATCTCACGTTTAGGTTCGCATCTGACGAAAGGATCGCCGGTGAAACCGGCCGGGCAGCTGCACACAGGATTGTGATTGGTCACTTGGCATTGCGCCCTGACTCCGCAAGTGCCAGCGCAAGGATTGATGCATCTCTGATTGCTACAGGCCTGATTCTTCGGGCAGTCCGAGCTGACGGTGCACTCGGGTCTGCAGGAGGGAGGCGATCCGATGAAGCTGGTCACGCAAGAACAAACGGCCTGCTCGTTCACCACGCGACAGACGCTGTTGGGTCCGCAGGGGGACGGGTTGCAGGGGTCCTCGGGTCCTAGAGTGGTCGAAGCTACGTCAGCATCTCTTAAACGAGAGATTGGAGGACTAAATCGAACTGAAGCCTACCTCTGCTCGGACGACAGGAAACGAAAGCGTTCCCGGTCATCCCAGGCAGACAACTGCACATGGGGATGTGGTTGTACACGTTGCACTGCGCGTTCTCGCCGCAGGTCCCCGGACAAGGGTCCACGCACTTGTTACGAATGCAGGCGAGATTGGTGGGGCAATCGTTATTGAGGACGCATTCCGGCCGACAACCCGCGTAAGGATCTCCTTGGTACTCCGGTAGACAAGAGCACCTGCCATCGGAGCACAAAGTGTTCGCGCCGCAAGGCGAAGGGTTGCAAGGGTTAGCGGGCACTACTGGCTCCTCAATCGCTAGATTGATAGAATTAAAGTTTAGGATGGAATTAGTTGGATCTCCGATCCGATTCGGGAGACTGAAGTCTCAGCAATCGGTAATGAAACTTTAAAGGAGGCTTACGTTTTGGATAACAATTTGTAAAGGGATCTCCTGTGAAACCATCGGGGCAAACGCAAGATGGCGTATGGTTGACGACGTTGCAGGTAGCCGAGGCTCCGCAAGAACCTGGACAAGGGTCCCTACACCTCTCGTTTATGCAAGCCTGACTGCTAGGACAATCGGAATTAATCGTGCACTCGGGCCTACAGTTCGGAGGACTGCCGATATAAGAGGCCAGGCAAGAGCAAGATGGTGCTCCACCGATTTGGCGGCACTCCGCGTAAGGTCCACACGGCGATGGGACGCATGGGTTCTCTACAACTGGGCCAGGCGGGGGTCCTAAAACGAACGATCTTGTAACGTAACCGGAAACCACTTGAGAAGCAGCAGTCATCCACTTCTGATCCTCTTACTTGGCATGGGGAAGCATCTAGTGAAAGGATCTCCCGTGTAACTTTCCCTACAAGTGCAGACAGGGCTGTGGTTCAGTACCCTGCAGTTGGAATTCGACCCGCAAGGCTGCGGGCAAGGATTGACACACTTGTTGTTGATACAGGCTCTGTTCGACGGGCACTCCGAGCTCATCACGCATTCAGGGCGACATCCAGGCGGGGTTCCGATGTACTCAGGCAAACAGGCGCACACGGCTTGGTCGTTGACAACGTTACATTGACTGTTCGGGCCGCAACGGGACGGGTTGCACGGATTTACTGGCCTCGGTTCTACCCAAGAAATATTCGAGATTGAAGACTGTTCCATATGGAGAGGTGAAACTGGATGTAGTTTAGTAGTTACCGGGTAGTACGACTGGACTGCAAAACCTGAAAGGGTCACCGGTGAATCCGTTCATGCAGGAGCACGCCGGCGAGTGATTGATCACTTGGCAAACGGCGTTCTGGCCGCAGGTGCCGGGGCAAGGGTCCTGACACTTGGAGCGAACGCAAGCCATGTTCGAGACGCAGTCGGTGTTCAATGTGCATTCCGGTCGGCAACCTTCGTACGGGTTTCCTATGTAGTCCTGCACGCAGGTGCACGAACCTGCGCCGTTCTGCTCCTTGCAAACCGCGTTTGCTCCGCAAGGGGACGGCGTACAGGGTGACACGTTCTCGAAAAGCATTGCTGCAGTGGAATAACGACTCTGCTAGAGATTCTCTGGATTCTTTGCGACACGAGGATCAAGTGCTGGGCACCGACTTACGTTGTTGCATGATGCACTGAGTGAAGGGATCCCCGGTGTAGCCGCTCATGCAAACGCACATGGGCGTGTGGCTGACGACCCGGCATTCCGTGTTCGAACCGCAAGCGCCTGGACACGGGTCCCTGCACTTTTGGTTCACGCACGCTAGACTCGCGGAGCACTCGCTGTTGCTGACGCACTCGGGGCGGCAGTTCGGCGGTGCACCGACGAAGTCGGACATGCAAGAGCAAGATGGCGAGTCGTTCACCACGCGACACTGCGCGTTTGGCCCGCAGGGAGAAGGTTGGCACGGGTTTATTGGCTCGGGTGGCGTGTCCACTATTGAAAAACAGTTGGGATTAGTATCCTGAATTTGGAGATCTTACTGCGTTGGGTGGTGTGCTATGAAATGTCAGATTTCTTTGGTAATCCGTTGCAATGTTTGGTTTGCTAGTGGCACTTGGTAAAAGAATTTGGGATAAGATATTTGTCACTGATCGATACCATCATATGAAATTTATATTTCCACGTTTCCAAGAGTTAACCCCTTGCCCTACAATATCGTGTCAGACTTGTGGTAAAGATTTCAAGTAGAATTTAATAAACATTATTCAGTTTGAATGCAAATTAGATATTCTTCCTCTGTTATCAATGATTATACCCTAGAGCACACTTTGACAGAATAAGACAGGAATGTTCCCTTATTTTCAATGAATTATTAATAAATAGCTTGAATCACAGTCCAAAAAGAAATCATAGGACAAGGGGCTAACGAAAAAGTGATTACCAATGACCGTGCAGTTTAACACGAAAATGCTCGCAGCTCAATGTCCACGTTCAACATTTCATATTACACGACCCAATAGCTATAGCAACCGTTCTTACGTATGGGATCGCATCTAGTGAACGGATCCCCGGAGTGTCTGGGAAGACAAGAGCAAATCGGGTTGTGGCTGACGACCTGACACTGTGTCCTCAGGCCACAGGTGCCTAAGCAAGGGTCTATGCACTTCTGGTTGCTGCAGGCTAAGTTACGCGAGCAGTCGGAGCTGACGGTGCATTCGGGTCTGCAAGTTGGCGGAGTTCCAAGGAATCCTTGGACGCAAGAGCAGACAGCCTGGCCGTTCACGACGCGGCATTGGCTGTTCGGACCGCACGGGGAGGGTCTGCAGGGGTCTTGAGGCAAGGACTCTACAAGGGCAATAAATTACCGTGTAAGATCAACAAATTACTACGGAGATCAAGGATGAATGAATATCCACCTTGCAAGACGGAACAAACAACGAACGCGTTCCCGGACATTCCAGGCGGACAGCTGCACATGGGTATATGGTTGTAGACATTGCAGACCGCGTTCTGACCGCAGGTTCCGACACAAGGGTCCATGCATTTGTTGCGGGAGCAGGCTCTGTTCTGGGGGCAATCGTCGTTGATCACGCACTCGGGTTGACAGCGAGTGAACGGGTCTCCGATGTAATTAGGGGGACAACTGCAGACGCCGTTGTCGCATTCCGCGTTAGCGCCGCAAGGCGAAGGGTTGCAGGGGTCCGATGGGACGTTTATGGCTGTAAAGGTCATGGTAATTTATAGGCACGTGTAGCAGATCCGATGATTTCACGGTCTGGACGTTTATAGTTGCTTGAGACTCTCTCGCGACAGCCGTGTCTCATGAACAATTTATTCAACCGTTTACCATTGCAGATGAAGTCGTCGAGGGGTCAAAGGCGCACTGATAATGCGTATTCCGTGTAAAGGTGTATATAATAGTAACCTCACGTTGTGAATCAATGGTAACTTCGACTTAATTGAAAAATGGAGTTTGACTAACAAGTTACCCGATCGGTATTCACTTTGAAATTTCTTATTTAATTAACATGAATGCCGCACGATTTTGAAGTGCAGAATATACGAAATGAAAAAATACAATATTAAGTTATTCAATTGAATAATTGTCACCACAACTGTCATCACATTAGCATTATTTACAATATAGGAATGTTTTCAAATAATAATCGTTCAATTGAGGAAATTGCAGTCATTGAATTTGTAGGGGGTCACCTTTCATTTGAGTATTATATTGATTTTCAATAATCAAACCTTTCATTTGAGTATTATATTGATCTTCAATAAATTAGATATGAGTAAATACGTGCTAAGTATTCGATTAAAGAAACTATTCTCGCAACGACTATTTCCTAGCGCAAGATTACTATTATACACAGTGTGCAGTTCATTATCAGTACACTATCAGCCCCTAACGAAGCCAACATCAACGAAGTCAAGAGACGAGGCAAATGTTCCCATGGTACACGTCTCTCGCTCAAAATCCTCGAACAACCATGTCGTGACCGAATCGTTCAAGACTCAGACGCTGAGTATCTTACATGGCGGTGGCAGCGGCTGGCAACTGGTGAACGGGTCACCGGTAAAACCTTCGGGGCAAACGCACGTGGGAACGTGGTGTATTACGTTGCAGGTTGCGCCTACGCCGCACGAGCCGGGGCAAGGGTCAGCGCAGGTCTCCCTCAAGCAGGCTCTGTTGCTGGGGCAGTCGGGGTTTATCGTGCACTCTGGCCTACAGTTCGGCGGGCTACCTATGTAATTCAGCGAGCAGGAACAGGACGGAGAGCCTCCTATATCGCGGCATTCCGAGTACGGGCCACAGGGGGATGGTACGCAGGGGTTAACAACGATAGCTGGCGATTGTTCTGAAAAGAATGATCATGGTTGTCTACGGTGGTCAACTTAGCTTAACCCATTCGCGTCATACGATAGCCACTACTGCACTTTTCGTGGCTTGGAAATTAACCCTGATACTGGTTTGTCTGACAAACGCAGTTGCATAAATGGATCACTAGTTAATTCATAGATTCCTATCTTATAGTGTAGATATTTTATGCTGGTCTCTTCGTAGCTTTCCTTCGCCCTGTTCGGATATGACACAAATGGGTTAAAGAGCGATCCTGTCGAGGATTCGTTAGCTTGTAGATCAGTCCAGGGACCGGGCAGCTTCTTACTTGGCGTCGGGAAGCACCTGGTGAAGGGGTCGCCAGTGAAGTCCAGCTTACAACTGCAAACTGGACTGTGATTGACGACCCTGCAGTCGGTGTTGTCGCCGCAACGGCCTGCGCAGGGATCGTCGCACTTCTGACCGATGCAAGCACGGTTCGGGGGGCATTCCGAGCTGACGACGCACTCCGGTCTGCATCCCGGCGGGCTGCCCACGTAACCGAGCGAACAGGCGCACACGGCCTGGCCGTTGGTCACGTGGCAGAGGCTGTTGGGTCCGCAGGGCGAGGGGTTGCAGGGGTTTGCTGGCTCGGGGGCTGCAAGTGGTACGGGGTCAGTAGTTGTTCTCCAATGTTGCGCTTTGATCCCGATGTATGAGGCTCGGTTATTGCGATTAGTCGGGTTAATATGGCGGATGCCCATTATCGGTACGGACGTATTACGATGAAAGCAACGTCGGTGGTTAGCGTGTCTACCGTTATGATCGACTATGGCGTTTGTGGTCGCTATGGATGATGAACGGTGTTATGGAAGTCGATAATTGTTGAGATTGAAGATTGTTATTGAAACTGATGGTTGTCGTTGATATTGATAATTGTTGAAATTGTTGAAATTGAAGGTTGTTATTGAAATTAAATATTGTCATTGATATTGAAGATTGTTATTGAAATTGAAGGTTGCTATTGAAATTGAATATTGTCACTGAAATTGAAGATTATCATTGAAATAGATGGTTGTCACTGATACGGATAATGGTCATTGACATCGAAGATTGCTATTGAAATTGAAGATTATCATTGATACGATGGCTGTCGCTGATACCGATAATGGTGATTGAAACCGAAGATGGCCATTGAAATTGATGATTGATCGCCAGTGAAATTGAAATTGATCATTGGAAGTTCAGACTTACTGGTCAGTTGCTGGACCTGGCAATAGGAGAACGGGTCTCCGGTGTATCCAGCCCAGCAAGTGCAACTCGGCAGGTGATTGATCACCGCGCAGTCGGCGTTCTGGCCGCACGTGCCGGGGCAAGGGTTCTGACACTTGGACCTTATGCAGGCCAGGTTCGAGGGACAGTCAGAGTTTACCGTACACTCCGGCCGGCATCCTTCGTACGGGTTCCCTATGTAATCCGCAACACAGGTGCACGAGCCTGCTCCGTTTTGCTCTTTGCATACCGCATTGGGGCCACAGGGTGACGGCTGGCAGGGGGACACCGTGGGTTCGATCTCGGCTAAAAATCGGTCAGAGGGTAAAGAATTGTTAGCTCTCGACACCTGTACCAAACGCTTACTTCCCCAGGCTGTTAATTCTGTTGTATGTGTTCTAGTCGGGGATTGGAAAGGTTCTGCAAATACTCGTTTTGGAACTGTTATGGAGAACTGAAATAGTCACAACTATTATCAGATATATGAGTTATTAGGTTCTGAGTTATATCAGCTATATTACCACCGATTCTCCTATATTATATCGATTCTATATTCATCCCATAACTCTTATTCCTCAGTTCATTTCTTAGAACCAAAAGACAACAGTTAGAGCCCGTATAAAACCCATATTAACCCTTTGCACTTGGAAGCTTTTCACTAGAAATATTCGAACATTTTTTGATATAGACTTTTGTGAAACTATTGAGTAACAAAAATATTCTATTTCAATATTTCTCAAATTGATCCGTTATACGAAGTATAATAAATATCAGATGTTATAGTTTCACTGTAATCAAGTGGTGAGTCAGCTCTCGAGTGACAAGGCTTTATATCCGACATAGTTCAGAACCGATATCTCTAATAACAGTTCTCTATCAGGGTTCTCCATAGTTGTTTCAAGAACCGGAACCGGTAACCGTTTCCAACCCCTGATTGTATCTGTGTTCTAGTGTGAGGATAGTAACAACGTGTGGTCTGTTCGCGGTTGTCTCTTTCCATCATAATGTTAAGGGATCTTACGTCGTTTGAACGTGCACTGCGTGAAAGGATCGCCCGTGTAGCCGGCTAGACAGCCGCACACCGGCGTGTGACTGACCACGCGGCATTCCGCGTTGGAACCGCACGAGCCTGGACAAGGGTCCCGACACTTTCTGTTTACGCAGGCCAAGTGGCTGGAGCACTCGCTGTTGCTCACGCACTCTGGCCTGCAGTTCGGAGGGGAGCCGATGAACTCGGGCAGACAGGCGCAGGAAGGTTTGTCGTTGATGGTTTGGTAGATAGAATTGGGTCCGCATTGGCAGGACGCGCACGTGTCCTCTTTTGGCACATTCACGGCTATCGGGGAACAAAGTTTTAAGGTTTAGATGCAAGTTAATTGTAGGTGAACTGTCTCATCACGAGCGTACTGGTTTTATCTATAAAACTTGATGCCTGATCAGGGAGAGATCGTGATAATGCATAGAAGTTCTCTGGAACGAGTTAGCTTGCAACATTTTAATCTCGCATTGGTCTATGTGAAGAATAATAATCGAAGAGAAAGTATCGTGTTTGAGTCACCATGGTCGACCGATGCAAATCTAATAAGAAATCTTTGTGAAGAACGGATTAGGAAAACTTGAATATAAATAACATAGAAGTTAAATATGAGAGCGTTAGAAAACCGTGTTTGGAAAATGGAGAACGTTGTTTATGTAGTATTATTTCTATTTATATCCCACGCTGTACTAGTTGAAAACGCGACAAATTGTCATTCATTATTTAGTGAAACAGTGCTAGTATTTTAGAATTTTCTATGCACATCAGATCTGTTATGCGTTCAGTTCTGCAGAGATACAGCCAGTTCGCTCTTGTGAGACAGACTGATCCAGTTTTGCTCATGGTATCGCGATTCTTACGCGTGAATTCGCATCTAGTAAAGGGATCCCCGGTGAAGCCAGGTGGACAGCTGCACACTGGGTTGTGGTTCACAACCTGGCACAGTGCCTTTAACCCGCAGCTACCGGTGCACGGGTCAATGCACTTTTGGTTGTTGCAGGCTTGATTCCTGGGACAATCGGAACTGACCACGCATTCCGGCCTACAGGCCGGTGGACTACCAAGGTATCCGGGTACACAGGAACACACGGCTTGGCCGTTTATCGCTCGACATTGACTGTTGGGTCCGCAGGGGGTTGGATTGCAAGGATTCGTCTGTGGTGGTTCTAGAGAAATAGGAACACTCTTCAATGGACCGCTCAAGTGTACGCAGATTATGAATACTTTTATAGATAAGCTCAGAGAATCGTTATTAACCCCTTAACTGTCGAGTGTGAACAGTGTCACTCGCGAATTCTAAATCAAGTATCAGTCTTGTTCTCATTTTCTCGTGAACATAACATTACTGCTGTTCAATTCTTAGCAAAAACCTTTCGTTGTACAGAGAAACTAAGCTTCTGAATTTAGTGAGACTAATAAGGTTTAATATTAATATAATACATACTTTAATATCAATTATCTATCAATAATCAATATTAACATTAATACTAATAAATCAATATTCAGTACACCAAAAACATAATACAATTTTCCTGAATTCGTTCTGTCACCGACACAACAGTCAAGGGGTCAAATTTCAATAAATTTCGTATGCTCCAATTCGCAATCTAACTATCTTCAAACTATAAACACGTAAACCACTCCACTAATCAATCCTCTCTTCCCCGTACCTTCTACTCTATCACAAGATATAAACGCGTTGCCGGACATTCCCGTCGGGCAGCTGCACATGGGCACGTGATTCAGGACATTGCAAAGGGCGTTCCTGCCGCAGGTGCCAGGACAAGGGTCCACGCACTTGTTGCGGACGCAGGCTCTGGACTGGGGACAGTCGTTGTTCAAAACGCACTCTGGCCGACAACTAGTGTAAGGGTCGCCCTGATAGTCTGGCAAACAGGTGCACACGCCAGCGTTGCACTGGGCGTTCGGTCCACACGGTGACGGGTTGCAGGGGTCAGTTTCGGAAGGAGGTGCTGAAAAAGTTGTCACAGATTGTTATAGAACATTCAGGAGAGACGAGAAACGTCCAGTTCCCTGGGAAATGAGTCTTACTCTGAGGCGTCGGTGCAGGGTAACAATTGCTGAAAGGATCGCCGGTGTACCCTTCGACGCAAGTGCACATGGGAATGTGGTTGAACACGCTGCACCGGGTACCTACTCCGCAGGATCCTGAACAGGGGTCTGAACACCGTTGTCTGATGCAGGCTCTGTCGCTGGGACAGTCGGAATTCACGGTGCATTCTGGCCTACAGTTGGGAGGGCTTCCGATGTTATTGGCCAGGCACTGGCAAGTTGGTCCACCGTTCACCACGCGACATTCTGAGTATGGACCACAAGGGGATGGGAAACAGGGTTGCGAAACTTCGAGTTCTGTGGGGGTCTGGGGTGCTGGAAGGATAATCAGGTTGTTAACAATAGTTTCTTCGTTTTCGAGTTGCTGGAGCTATTTGAACCCCTGGTCATAAAATACCGAGTCAGACTCGCGACGAAGATCTTACGAAGGTGGACGAAGGTGGATACAGATGAATTAGAAACTTTTCCTTGTTATTTGTAAATTATTCCAATGAATAGCTTGGTTTACTAAAATCGTTTAGTAGAGCAAGGGAAGAATTCGACAAATATGTGTTTATGTCTACTCTATTTTTCATATAGAAAAAGCATCACTTGTGTATTATCAACCTTCCACCTTTAAATAGATAATATTGAGATCTGTCGAATTTGATTGAATATTTTCGTCACGAGTCTGATTCGATATTACAGCAGAAGGGGTTACGTTATCTGGACGCGTCTTACGTGGAATGGGGAAGCATCTAGTGAATGCATCTCCGGTGTACGAGTCCCTGCATGCGCAGATTGGACTGTGGTTCCGGACCACGCAAGTGGCGAACGCGCCGCAGGAGTTCGGACAGGGGTCCACACACTTCTGGCTCACGCAGGCGCGGTTCTGTGGGCATTCTGTGTTTAAGACACACTCTGGACGACACATAGGAGGAGAACCTGAGTATTCTGGTAGACAGGAGCAAACTCCTTGGCCATTCACCACGCGGCATTGACTGTTCGGTCCGCAGGGTGAAGGGTTGCAGGGGTCCTTGTACTGTGTTTGGTCTTCTACAATGGGTAGATCTTGTTTAGTGGAGTATTCTTACGGGAAATATCGAACTGTGTAATCTCTCTTATGAATCATTGTACTTGGCGCCATGAACATTAAGCTGAATGTTCTAGTTACTTAATGTCATCTAGAATTTGAACGTGGTTCCTTCATTTTTAATTGATAGAGTTTAGAACCATCATAAGATCTTTAACTTTGGGTTCATAGAACGCGTTAGTTTAATGCGTAATCATATAGAATAAATATAACGAATATAATATAATAAATATATAAATATAATATAATAAATATAATCTATATAAATATAATTCTCATCTATGTGAGAAATCTATATCAAAATATAATAAATATAATCTATATAAATATAATTCTCATCTATAAGAGAAATCTATATCAAAATTATCTATATTAAAATTCTATATGAGAATTCTATATCAGAATCTTATAATCATTTGGTTCGCATCAATTTTCATTGATACAGTTACACGAGGAGGTATCCTAATTTGTACACTTTGAAATCTCTAATTTCCAAGATTTGAATGAATATCTATTTTTCTATGAATAATGTCTGTGATAAATGTTTGTAAAACCAGAGTTAAAGAAATGTGTGGTCATTTTATAATAACGACAGTTGATAGTTCAATTCCGGGATGAATATATCGGATACATTAATTATATCATGTTTTCAAGCAAGAAGATTCAGAAAGAAAGATTATACAATCGTTAGAATGATTTAGGTATACCTATATCACGGATCAAGCTGCAGTATTGGAAAGGATTTCCACTGTAGCCCGAGGTGCAAGTGCACGTAGGTCGATGATTAATGACCTGGCACTCGGCGTTCGCGCCGCAGGTGCCCGGGCAGGGGTCCTGACACTTCGACCGGATGCAGCTCAAAGTGGGAGTGCAATCCGTGTCGATTACGCATTCCGGTCGGCAGCCTTCGTAAGGATTTCCGATATAATCAGGAAGGCAAGAACAGGAGCCGACGCCGTTCTGTTCTTTGCAGATCGCGTTGAAGCCGCAGGGGGACGGTTTGCAGGGGTTCAGGAAGACTGGTACAGCTGAATTTGAAATGGGAGACTTGATAATTTAAATATTTTGTTATAAGACTCTATTGGAGAAGATAAGAGTACGGATTGAAAAGGTTTCGATTGAAACAGTTATGGAGAACCGAAAGAAAGTCATTAAAGTTGGCGGTATCGGTTTTTGTTCTGAAGAATTATATCGGTTGTATATCAGAATTATCTATATGAGAATTCTATATCAAAATTCTATATCAGAATTCTATATCAGAATTATCTATATAAGAATTCTATATAAAAATGATCTATATGATAATTCTATATCAGGATAATCTATATCAAAATTCCATATCAGAGACATATCGGTACCGAAGAACCAGAACCGAAATCGTTACAACTTAGAACCGACACACCTAACAACAGTAACAACCCTATTCCAGTTTCCTGCACTGTTTCAAAACTCAATACAACTCTTTTCAACCCTTATCTAGAAATTTGAAATCTGGTGAAATCATTGGCCACAGTATCATCTCCACCGAACGAAAACAAAGTGCTTCCAGATTCTTACGTGGCTTAGGATTGCACTGAGTGAAAGGATCACCGGTGAAGTCCTCAGGGCACACGCACATGGGCGTGTGGCTGACAACGCGACAGTCAGCGTTGACAGCGCAAGAACCGGGACAAGGATCTCTACACTTCTGGTTCACGCAGGCCATGTGACTAGGACATTCGCTGTTGCTGATGCACTCCGGCTTGCAGTTCGGAGGGATTCCCATGAATTCCGGTAGACAAGAGCAAGATGGCGCGTCGTTCACGACTCGGCATTGGGCGTTAGGACCACACGGGGAAGGTTCACAGGGGTTCACAATGGGAACGTCGTTCACTAAAAATGTACAAGTGTCTTTACATAATTCATCGAAATTTTGTATAAAGGAATTAACCGTACGAGTCCCACAGCGAGACTTTGCTGCCCAGAATTCACTTCAAAAAGACCCAAATTTAAACCCTTCGGATAATTGAGGTATTCGAATTTTACCGATGCTCGTTCTAGCGTCTTCTCATTTGTAAAAATCAAATCTAGTGTTCTCATTCTTTTAGTTCCCATTTAATGCACCGAAAACATGAGCATCTCCTCTGTAATATATCTTGTCTCTAGTTTGCATTACTTTCAATCATTTCAGATAATAAAAGGCAGATAAAGCTATGTAATACTATCTTTTTAGTTCACATTATTTTCCATCGTTTTGGATAATTCTCATTTAAATGCACCGAAAACATGAGCATCACCTCTGTAATATATCTTGTCTCTAATTTGCATTACTTTCAATCATTTCAGATAATAAAAGGCAGATAAAGCTATGTAACACTATCTTTCTAGTTCACATTATTTTCCATCCTTTCGAATAATAAAAGGGTTATCCTGCTACATAAGATTTCTCTGTGCAAGCTAATCCATCTGTCTCTGTTTGATAAAGTTGACTTCGAATTTTCTGGGACTCGAACAGTTGAGGATCGAAGGAGATCTTACGTTGCGGGGTGCATCGAACGAATGGATCACCGGTCAATCCCGGCGAGCAGCTGCACACGGGGTTGTGATTAACCACGTGACAGACTGCCCTAAGGCCGCAGGAGCCGGGACACGGGTTTATGCACTTCTGATTGCTGCAAGCCTCGGTCAAAGGGCAATCCGAGCTCACGGTGCATTCAGGCCTGCAAGCAGGCGGCAAGCCCACGAATCCTGCTACGCAGGTGCAGACCGCCTGCTCGTTCACCTCTCGGCAAACGCTGTTGGGACCACAGGGCGACGGCGAACAGGGGTTCCTCTGTATGGGATCTGTGTTTCGATGGGAAGGACATTTAGAAATCTAATTCCATTCGATCGGTCTTCCAATAAGAACTTTAGAATATCTTCCCCGAGGAGGATGCATCTTAACACGTTGAATGCCATGGGTCATCGGTGACCCAGCAACCGAATCGGATTATTATAGTTCACTCAATTAAACGATGATCATTTGATCATTTCTATATTCTAAGTTAACGTGACATTCAGCTGAACGTGCAATAACGATAATGCAATCGAATGGTTCAAGATTCGATTTTTTCCATTTCATGTATTTTGCTCTATGAAATCGCGGCATTCAACGTGTTAGATTCTTGTGTATATAGCAGACATCTAGCTTAACTCTCTGTTTCTTAAATCTGGCAAGGTATTTAATCTATTCGAGATTTTTAGCGAAAGCAAATCGTTCACTTTGTTTACTACGAAGTAACCGTCTCTCAAAGTGCATTTCGAAATATTAGGAACGATACAGAATTATCGACAAGAAAATACCGAAGGTGTGCAGAGTCAACGCAAGGTATTACCAGATGGGTCGAAATGATTCCTGAACTCTGTACTGTTGAAAAAGTAACTTATACTTTGAGAGGTTACTAAAGAAATTGCAGATCAATTGAAATTTCAATGGATGCACTCTTCGAGTTCCTACAGGATTTCAGAAAATTAAGTAGTTAGCCAAATGGCTGATGCTATGTGTACTTTTAAAGAAACTAAAATTTCCCAGCGGGACATTTCGATAGAAGAAAGGATATTCTGAAGCTCGTATTGGAGAACTCGTTAGATCGCTGAAAGAAACTGGCAACAGGTTGTACCTCGGGTCACGGAACACTGAACGAAAGCGTTCCCTTCCATCCCGTTAGGACAGCTGCACATGGGCACGTGATTGAACACGAGGCACTGCGCGTTCCTGCCGCAGGTGCCTGGGCAAGGATCCACGCACTTGTTCCTCACGCAGGCACGATCCTGCGGGCAATCAGTGTTCAACACGCACTCCGGCCGGCAGCCCACATAGGGATCGCCCTGGTACTCCGGCAAACACGTGCACACGCCGTTATCGCAACGTGTGTTGGCTCCGCAGGGTGAAGACGCGCAGGGATCGGTGATAACAGGTTCAGCTGTGGAACAAAGGACCCTCTAGCTTCTATACAAATTGCTTGACACTAGAACTACCTGGTCAAATTTCAGAATTCTCTTACTTCAATGATTCATACCGTGGAAATGTCAAATACGCGAGATCATTCGATAAATCAATAGTTTTACTATGCAGTGAGTATCTGTAGAAATTAAATGAAACTTATTGTTCCGGTTGTGAGATATAACTAACCACGTATCAATCATATAATAATCGGTAGTTCCAGTGTTAACGCTTTGAGTGCCGCCTTTAGAAACGAGCTTCGTACTCAGGCAAGTACATACATTAAAACGAAAAGATTTCTACCTGAAAATCGAAAACATTAACGCGTAGAGAAGCTTCGCTTCCGAGTGACACATATCTGTCAACGATAGAATTTTTAAGAATTTTCTAATTTAAAATCAATGACTTATTCCTCAATCTAATACTGTGTTCTCCATAATATGTTTCTGTCAACGTAACGGGTGGGAAAGTGAAGACATTCATTTTCAAGATTTTACGCTTAGCACTAAAAGGGTGAAAGGTTCTGGAGATGGTCTTACGTGGTTCAATGGGAGCGAGGTAACAGTTGTTGAAGGGGTCACCCGTGTATCCTTGGGGACAAGTGCACACGGGGACGTGGTTGTAGACCGTGCAAAGGGACGTGACGCCGCACGACCCTTGGCAAGGGTCCCTGCACTTCTCGCCGGTGCAAGCGAGGTTCATAGAGCAGTCGGAGTTCACGCGACACTCCGGCCGACAGTTCGGGGGGGATCCGATGTATCTGGGTGAACAGGAGCAAGACGCCGTGCCGCCGATGTTCCTGCATTCCGCGTACAGGCCGCAGGGGGAGGGCACGCAGGGGTCAATCGGGGCTAGGGCGTTGTCGTTCGGGGACGGCTCTGCAATTAATTCGTGGTACGGTGATGCCTGCTTAAATTTCACTGAACTCCGGAGCCAATAGTGAGAATCTCGCCTGTAGCATTGCGACTTTCTAACAATCGACTCGAGATTAGATGAAACGAGAAAAAGAAACAAATTTCAGAAGACCCGAAAGGAAATCTCATCGTCGATCAGTTTTACCTTAAATTTCTGTAACAACAATGGATACTGGAGATTCTGATTAAAATGAGACCGAACATTCGTGTACTTCACTTAGTATTTATGTTAAACAGGTGAAATTAGCTCTTGTTTGGGCTCGTTTTAATTAGGATCTTAACTATCCATTGACGCTCAGTTGCAAAGATCAGGGGGAAATGACTGAGAATGAAATGTTTCTTACTGGATCTTCACTTTTCATTTCAAATTTCCTTTTCGTCGTCCATTCTCTACTCTTGTTTCACTGAAATTTAAACGAGCGTCACTGTGTTAGCTTCACAATGATGAAGGGATGAAACGATCACAGTGAATTTCATTGAACGCCTCGAACGTTCAACGAATTTTCAACGGGAACTATGATCGACGATACCGATGAAGACCTTCGAGCCTCGAAGTCGATGTGGCGAAGACGAGAAATGGGTGAAACGAACGAAAACATCCGCAGAAAGGTTCTTACGTGGAGCAGGGAAGCATTTGGTGAACGGGTCGCCGGTGTATCCGTTGTTGCAGGTGCAAATGGGACTGTGGTTGATCACCCTGCACTGAGTGTTGATGCCGCAGGAGTTCGCGCACGGGGTCGTGCACTTTTGGTTGACGCACGCGAGCTCCAGGGGACAGTCGTTGTTCACCACGCACTCGGGTCGGCAGTTCGGCGGGTTTCCCATGAAATTCGGGAGGCAGGTGCATACTGCGTGGTCGTCCACGTTTCGACATTTACTGTTGGGCCCGCAGGGGGACGGGTTACACGGGTCAACGGGGGTCACTGTATGGGGGTAAAATTGTATTAGAGGACCTGCGAATGAACAGGTCTGCACAAATCGCGTTTCGTTCTATCTAAGTGCCTTTCTTCATGCTTTTGATCCAGGGCTTCTCAAATTATGAGTTGGGTAATTACACTCAGGGCTTGTAGAAATATTGGGAGTACTAAAAAATTCCTGGACGCGAATCGAGCAAAAATTAATTCGAAACCAACTTGAGCAGAATTATTCGTTTAAAATTATACAGTTACTGTCGAATCAATTTTCTTTGATTTGCTATCAAACGTTTTAACTCCCTCCTGTGAATTTTTTCGCGACTACTTTACTGCTAATAAGTTAGTAAGGAAAAGAATGTTACTCATTCGGTTTACTCTAAAGGTGACTCACCACCTGATTATATAGTAAAACTATAAAATTTGATATTTAATATTCCACCTTATCAATTTGAGAAATATTGAAATAAAATAGCTTTGTTCCTCAATGTGTAATTTCTCTACGAGTTAGTTCACAAAGTATCGCTTTTATTTCATCAGAGAAATTTCAAAGGGTTAAAGTCCGGCAATAAACAAGTAACATTTCGTTCATACGCGAAATAAATATGTCGAATTCAATTTGAAATTTCCATCACGAATCGGACACGATAATATAGATTGCTACACTGTATCCATGAAATATTTGTCTGAATAAAAGGGGTTGGTCAAGTGGAGAAGTTTGAGAAGCCCTGTAATCTATACTACTGGTGCAGTGTCTAGTGGTTCTAGATTCTAGAATATTCTACCTATCTAGGGTGCCGAGTGAATTCGTACGAAAGTGAGGCTTACAATCGATTGGGACCAGGGAACAGTAGGTGAAAGGGTTGCCAGTGTATCCAGGGTTACAAGAACAGACAGGCACGTGATTGATCGTTTCGCAGCGGGCCTGCAGCCCGCAGGTGCCCGAGCAAGGGTCGCGGCATTTCACGCCCATGCACGCCATCGTCTTGGCGCAATCGGAATTTTGCGTGCACTCGGGCCTGCATCTTTCGTAGGGGTCGCCAATGAAGTCTGGCGGGCAGGAGCAGAGGCCGACGCCGTTGTTCTCGCGGCAGATCGCGTTGATGCCGCACGGGGAGGGCCTGCAGGGGTTCCTAAGGTCTGGGCGTTCATCTGATGGAAAGAGAAAGACTGTCGCTTAAGAATGATACGGTCATGCAGCTCGGGTATGGTCGGTCAAAGCTCGTGCGATGCCATGAGCCGCTCCGCTCGGGGAGCGGGCAAAGTTCAGCTTCGTGCGGTGACGAATGATTCAAGCGGAGGCTGATCCTTGCTACTCTGATCCTTCAGCAGCGCGTTCCTCTCGGTTTTCGTACAGGCTTATGATACTCGTTCTCGCGGGTGTACATGGCGTTGAATGGTTAGGGTGTTTCATGGTGAGGTGCGTGTTTCATGGGGCAACTACGTTGCGCAGCGGCAGCGTTATTTGCATGTCGCTTTCGGGTGGTTTAGATCTCGCTAGGGGTTGTTATGGTCGGGACTCACTTCTCAATGCTCAAGCGTGTTTCGGGAGTCAGGGATGTTCCTTTAAGCGTGGTTTCAATCTGTGGTGTCAGGGATTAATCTCTTTCGCCTGGGGTTCTTGAGGGTGTCGCTCTGAGGGACGCAGGGCTGGGTGTTTCTAAGACTATTTAGCAGACGCCAATTGCGCCCGGCGTCTCCGGACTCTGTCAGTGTGTCAAGCACTATGGTTGGGTATGATCGATGCGTGCGGTATTCTCTGTATGGGGGTGTATCTGAATGTTTCTGGGAGATGAGTGCAATTAAGAGCCTATTACTCCATAGGCCCCGCCACCATTGTGTCTCTTAATGTAGGGTTACGTCGGCAATGGTTACGATCGGGGTGGTACGCATACATGGGTGAAGGCGTGCTCGTTTCGATGGGTTCGTTAATCGCAGGGGTTGGGGGGATGATTCGTTATGGCCGACACTTCATTCGTACATGACTGGGTGTTGTAATTCTCAAGGCCCCGCCACCATGGCGACGCTGGGCTCTGTTAGGGGGGCCTCTCGTGTTACTTCGGTCTCCTCGGGGGACGTAATCTTCTATTGTTAGAGAGAAGGTGAGCGATGACGGTTAATAGAACAGCGGGGCAAAGCACTTACCTGCGTCGCCCGCATGCGTGTGGCGATTGTTTGCGGCGAGAAATGAAATTAGGAGAAAGACAAACGACAGCAATTCTGTTGTGGCGCACTCACCCTTGGCGACCGGCTCGCAAACGCTGAACGGATTCCCGGTGTAACCCTCGGCACAAGCGCACACCGCGTGATGGTTCACTACCGAACACTGAGCGTTCGAACCGCACAAACCGACACACGGATCGCGACACTTTTGCTGCATGCACGCCAAATGCGGCGGACACTCCGGATTGATCGTGCACTCCGGCCTGCAGTTTGGCGGGACACCGATGTAATTCTGCACGCACGAGCAGACTGGACCGGCGTCTCTCACTTGGCACTCCGCATTTGGTCCGCAGGGCGATGGCTGGCAAGGGTTCACGGGCTTCGGTGGTTCTCCTGGGATAAAGGAATGGAATGTTAATAGTCTTCTGTTGATACCTTCTCTTAGGCGCAAAAAGGAGTATTGACAGTACTCACTGGGCATCGGGTAACACCTGGTGAACGGATCTCCTGTGTGTCCTTCGTAGCAGATGCATATTGGATTGTGATTTACCACTTGGCACTTAGAGTTCTGGCCGCAGGTGCCTGGACACGGGTCCTGACACTTGTTATTGAGGCAGGCTTGAGTCAGAGGACAATCTGCGCTGACTACACACTCTGGTCTGCAGGCAGGCGGGCTGCCTATCAGTCCTGGTTGACACGAGCAGACCGCGTGATCCTTCACCACTTTGCAAATGCTGTTTGCTCCGCAAGGGGATGGGGTGCACGGTTGTTTTCTGGGTTCTTGAAAGTTCAAAGAGTTCGAGTTAAGTACTGATAGAAGTAGCAGTGTGGCCTGGAAATTGATAAGATGGACCTACCTTCGAGTAGATGTGTTCGACACAGAGTAAATGGATCCCCGGTTGTGCCAGGTGGACAACTGCACATTGGTATGTGATTGACTACGTCGCAACGTGCACCTGTGCCACACGTGCCGATGCAAGGATCGACGCAGTAATGATTGGCGCACGCCTTCACGCGAGAACAGTCGGAATTCATGGTGCACTCCGGTCGACAGTACGAGTAAGGGTCACCGAAGTAATTCTGGAGACACTTGCAGTTACCCTCGTCGCATTCTGCGTTTGGTCCGCATGGAGATGGATTACATAGATCTTCAGGTTGCTTAGGTTGCTCTGTGGAGGATGAAAAGATTAATTACAATTCATCATGATCAACGTTTCAAGAGATTTCAAAAATTCCTACCTATTATCTGTGTACACAGAGTGAAAGGATCGCCGGTGTATCCTGATTGGCAGAGACAAACGGGTATGTGATTTTGTACTCGGCAATCTGCACTCTGACCACAGGACCCGGCGCAAGGATCTCGACACTTCTCGGAAATGCAAGCTTCATTCGATGGACAATCTGTGTTGACTACGCACTCTGGTCGACAATTTGGTGGTAGTCCTATGTAATTTTTCAGACACGAACAGGCAGCCTGATCATCGTTTGCTCTGCATTCTGCGTAGAGGCCGCATGGACTTGGCGTGCATGGATCACCGATAGGTGGAACTGGAGTAACTGGAGAAAAAATGGACGTTGAACAGTTTTAAATGACACTGCACTTCGTTTAATTCAACTATCAAAGATGGTGTAATAGTGTGCGAGAATAATTACCTGTCTGAGTGAAGCATCTAGAGAACGGATCTCCTGTGGTTCCCTGTGGACAGCTGCACAACGGGTTATGATTGATCACACGACAATTGGCTCCCACTCCACAGGTTCCTGGACAAGGATCAGTACACTTGTGCTTGTAGCATGCTCTGTTCTGTGGACACTCTGAGTTGACAACGCATTCAGGTCTGCAGTTTGGAGGTGTGCCGATGAAGGTTTCCTGACAAGTGCACACAGCCTGCTCGTTCACAGCGCGACACAAGCTGTTCGGTCCGCATGGCGATGGTACGCATGGGTCTATCACAGTAGGCTCTGTGCTTGTAACTACTGGCAGATTGCAAATGACGAATGGATCTCCCACGTAACCAGGTTGACAAGTACAAGTTGGAATATGGTTGATGACTGAACACTGGGCTCTGACACCACATATTCCTGGACAAGGATCCTCGCACTTGTTGCGGACGCAGGCCTTATTAGTTGGACAGTCAGAGCTGAGGATACACTCTGGTTGACATCCCTCGTAAGGGTTGCCATGATAGTCGTCGATACATATGCAAGCTCCAACGTTGTCGCGTTGCTGGCAGACAGCATTGGGACCACAGGGAGAGGGTTCGCATGGATTGATAGCTTCCTCTGTATAATAAAGATGCGTTATGTATATACATTAAAAAATATGTGCTTCGTTAACAAAGAGACAATGTCAAATGAACGCACCTTCCAGTTCAACGCATTGAATGAACGGATTTCCTGTGAAACCATCGGTACACGAACAGACGACTGCGTGATTAACGACAATGCATTTCGCATTCTCTGCGCAGGATCCGGGACAGGGGTCTGTGCACTTTGAATTGATGCAGGCTTTGTCAGTGGGACAGTCAGGGTTGATCAGACATTCTGGACGACAAGATGGTGGAGTTCCTATGTACGTAGGTAGACAAGAGCAGGATGGATAGCCGTTCACGTTTTGACACTGGGCATTTGGTCCGCAGGGCGATGGACTGCAAGGATCGCCAGTGTCTTTGACTTCCGGTGTAGCTAAAGAAATTGGGTTATTATTAGTATTTTATTTTGTAGTGTATCGTAGAAGTACATGACAACGTTAGATTCTCTACTTTGCATGTCGTAACAACTCTTGAAAGGATCTCCAGTCTGCCCAGGAAGACAACTGCAGATTGGCGAATGGTTGATCACTTCGCATCTTGCGTTCAGACCACAAGAGCCCAAACAAGGATCAGTGCACTTCTTGTTCACGCAGGCTCGAGTCGGTGGACACTCTGAGCTAACGACACACTCCGGTCTACAGGAAGGAGGAGATCCAAGGTATCCTTGTAAACAAGAGCAAACAGCGTGGTTTTCTTTGTTACGGCACTGGCTGTTTGGTCCACAGGGTGATGGTGAACATGGATCTGATGTCGTTGGAACTGTAATATATTTCATGGTTTAAGATGTCGAATCGTTTAAAGTAATCTTTTCTGCTATGTAAAGTCTATTCTTACCATGAGGTTGAATGCGACAGCTGACAAACGGATCTCCAATATAACCAGGTGGGCAAGAGCAGCTAGGTATGTGGTTCACTATATCGCACACAGCATTTTGTCCACATGCTCCAGGACAAGGATCCTTGCACTTATTTCTGAGACAGGTCCTGTCACGAGGACACTCCAAATTAAGAACACATTCTGGACGACAGGCTTCGTAAGGATTTCCTATATACTCTGGAAGACACTCGCAGTCGCCATTTGTACATAAGGCGTTGGGTCCGCAGGGAGATGGGCTACAAGGATCACTTACTGGTGGCAGTGTGGCTGGAGACGAAATTATTATTATGTGAATGTGAATTAAAAAATAAACAGGATGCAATACTTGACGGACTTAAAAATTTAAAGCGATCTTACTTGGAGGGAGGACTATACACTGCGTGAATGGATCACCAGTGAACCCTTCCATACAAGTGCAAACAGGTATGTGATTCAGGACATGGCACTGAGCATTGACACCGCAGGAGCCTACACAAGGATCTTGACACTTCTGATTAACACAGGCGAGATGACTTTTGCATTCCGAGCTTAGAATACACTCTGGTCGACATTCCGGAGGGACTCCAATATAATTTGGTAAACAGGAACATGCTGGATTTCCAGATATAAGCTGGCACAGAGAATTTGGTCCGCAAGGTGTAGGTGTGCAAGATGGCGGCCGTTCCGTGGATGTGCTAGCATTGAAAGCTAAGAAGGAGAATTATAATTAAACTTATATGATCTTATAATAGATGTATACATTGAAATTTAAGTTAATTTTACCGATGAAGGAACACTGAGTGAAAGGGTCACCAGTGAACCCAACAGGACAGGAACAAATCGGATTATGATTTTTAGTGGTACACTGAGCCCTTAATCCGCAAGTGTTAGGACAAGGGTCTGTGCATTTCTTGTTCAAACACGCCAAGTGAGGTGGACACTCCGCATTCACGACGCACTCTGGCCTACAATTTGGTGAAATTCCACGGTATTCTGGAAGGCACGTGCATACAGCTTGCCCATTTATTTCTCGGCATTTGCTGTTGGGTCCGCAGGGTGAAGGCGAGCATGGATCTAACGGTGGACCTCCTAAAGTTACATTTTTAAAAGTAAATATTTGAGATGCGCAACTGAATATTCAGTTAGGTAACCTAGTTTCCAAACTCACTCATAATTTCTTTAAGTTCACAAGCGAAGTATGGATCTCCTGTGTATCCAGGAGGACAAGTGCACACAGGAACGTGTTGCTGAACATTGCAAATGGACAAAGTGCCACAAGTGCTTGGACAAGGATCGGTACATTTGAATCCAATGCATGCCAATTGCGGAGCACAGTCATTATTCGATTCACATTCTCTGTGGCATCCCTTCTCATTGTCGTAAGGGTCTCCAATGAGATCTGATGGGCAGACACAAGCTCCCGCGCCGTTCCTCTCGCGACACTGAGCATTTGGACCACAAGGATTCGGTGAACATGGATTAGGTACACTCATATCCGTTGCTGAAATACCAAAGACATTAGTAACGAGACATTCAAGATAACCTTTACCGATACGAATGAAACATTTACTTGGTGTTGGTGCAAGTACGCATCGAACGCTGGCATCACCCTCGTATCCCTCTGGACAAGTGCAAATAGGAAGATGATTTTGAACCGTACACCTAGCGAGCTCTCCACATGCTCCAGGACATGGATTCTTACACCTCTGATTTATGCAAGCCGCCGAGTGGAAGCATTCAGAATCATCTGTGCACTCGGGTCTGCAATTTGGCGAACGCCCGATGAAGTTCATCAGACAAGAGCAAGCAGGCTGAGAACCAATTACTCTGCACTGAGAATTTGGCCCGCAAGGATTGGGCGAGCATGGATTTCCAGCGCCTTTAGATGGTACATCGGACATATTGAATCTCGTGCACTGAATCAGTGGATTTCCTGTATATCCAGCAGCACACGTGCAGATAGGATTATGGTTCACAGTTAGACACTTGGTGTTCAGTCCGCAAGATCCCGGACAAGGATCAGCGCATTTGTTCTCGATGCATGCTTTGTTCTGAGAACACTCGGAACTGACTGTACATTCTGGACGACAAGTGGGTGGTATTCCAATGAAGCCTGGTTGGCAGAGGCATATCGCGTGTCCGTTATGAACGCGACAGTTGCTGTTGGGTCCACAAGGCGAAGGTTCGCAAGGATTCTCTGGTACCGGTTGCGGCGTATCTTCCAATTTGATACACAAGTTGAACGGATCTCCGGTGTACCCAGGCAAACAGGAACAAGATGGAGCATGATTCACCACTCTACAAGTGGCTCCTTCGCCACACGTACCAGGACAAGGGTTGACGCATTTGTTGTGCAGACAAGCCTTGTCACGATCACAATCGGTGTTCTTGACACATTCAGGTCTGCAGCCCGTGTACGGATCTCCGATATACTCTGGCAAACATGTGCAGGATCCTACACCGTTCCTCTCGTTGCAAACAGCATTTGCACCGCAAGGAGATGGGTTGCATGGGGTGCGAGGCTGTTCTGTCGTGGTGGGTACTGCAAAAGGTTGTAATAAAGTGTGTAATGAAGGTTCGCAACTTGAACAAGGGATTATCCATGAACTTTGAAGAGATTAAACACGAGCAATACCTTCGATTATCGGAGAACATTCGGTGAACGGATCTCCAGTGTATCCAGCATTACAGATACAAAGAGGGTTATGTTTTACAACGTTGCAGTAAGTGTTGACACCGCATGAACCTGGGCAAGGATCGACACACTGCTCGTTCTGGCAAGCTAGATTTCCAGGACAGCCTTCGTCGATGACGCATTCCGGACGACAGTTGGGAGCTCTGCCGACGTAATTAGGCAGACACGAACAGGCAGGGAAACCGTCTATCACGCGGCACTGTGAATTTGGTCCGCAAGGCGATGGAAGACACGGATTGCCGCTTGGTTCCGGACCGGGTACTTTGGCTTCAGCTTGAAAATGATACCAATGATTATGTTAAAAATATACTACCTACAGAGGACAATAAACTATTCAAATCTGAACCTTACGTTCTTTAACGCATCCGAAGAATGGATCACCAGTGTATCCAGAAGAGCAACTGCAAACTGGGTTATGATTGATGACCTGACAGTCAGCGTTCTGGCCGCAAGTGCCTACGCACGGATCTCCACACTTCTGATGGATGCACGCTGTATTCTGAGTGCAATCTGTGCTAACCACACACTCTGGACGACACTGTGGCGGACTGCCAACGTAATTTGGTTGACAAGAACAAACCGCGTGGTTATCGATCACTCGACAATTGCTGTACGGCCCGCAAGGGGATGGTTGGCATGGATCACCCGGTATTGGTGTAACTGCAATCGAATCAAAAACATTTATACAAGAACGACGAAGAAGGAAGTTAAGAAAATTCATGAAACGCAAACTTACCAGGTGACAAATGACAGGATTTTAATGGATCACCAGTATAATCGGATAGACAACTGCACGAAGGCTGATGATTGATGACTTGGCACTGAGCGTTCAAACCACAGGCTCCTAAGCACGGATCCTTGCATTTGTTGTTTATACAAGCCTTCGCCTGCACGCAGTCAGAGTTCTGAACACATTCGGGTCTGCATCCTGCGTAAGGATCTCCGGTGTAGTCAGGCAAACAGGCACAGGAGCCAACTCCGTTCCTTTCTTTGCACACCGCATTCGCACCGCAGGGCGATGGATCACAAGGCAGTGGTACGGGATAAGAAACTGAGAAATATATTAATATATAATACACACAGTAAACTAAAATCAATCGCTCAGATCAATCTGTAAAATACCTTTACTGCATCCAGAGAAAGGATCCCCTTCATAGCCGTCATAACACTGGCACATAGGCCGGTGGTTCTGGACAGTGCAATTTGTGTTAAATCCACAGGACCCAGCGCAAGGATCCACACACTTCTTTTGGACACAAGCCAGATAATTCGGGCAATCCTGATGAATCAAACACTCTGGCCTGCAGTTCGGTGGTGCTCCAAGCATTCCGCTGACGCACGTGCAAACCGGATGATTCTCTTGGACACGACAATCTGCGTTTGGTCCGCAAGGAGAAGGCACGCAAGGATTCTTGGGTCCTGGCGTAGGCAGTGGTACAACTACCAAGAAAACAACAGCTTGAGTATTCAGGTACATAGACACAAGTGTGAAATGAAAGTACAAGAAATTGTGTATCACCTTCTTTAACGCATTGGGTGAACGGATCTCCAGTGAACTTCGGAGGACAGCTGCAAATAGGATTGTGACCGACAACTTGACAAAGAGCGTTCTGTCCGCACAAGCCAGGACAAGGATCGCTGCACTTTTGAGCAATGCAAGCCAAGTGTACAGGGCAGTCTGAGCTAACTAGACACTCTGGCCGGCAAGATGGAGGCGTGCCGTGGTATCCTGGGCTGCACGAGCAGACAGCGCGGTCCTTCATCACGCGACAGATGCTGTGTGGCCCACATTGCGATGGCATGCAAGGATTTTGCGTCGGAGGAGCTAAGGGATTCAATTATACAATTAATTCTCGCCCCAGGAATACACATCTATGAATAAAACTGACTTAACCAGAACACTCACGTGATTTCTCAATCTTACAAGAACCAAATGGATCACCGGTGTATCCAGGCAGGCAAGAGCAAACTGGAACGTGATCGTCTACCTCGCATCTCGCGTTAGCACCGCACACACCTGGACAGGGATCCCTACAGTGCTGATTGAAACACGCCAAATGAGACTCGCAGTCCTGATTCACAATGCACTCTGCTTCGCAGCCGTCCATGTATGGGTTGCCAATGTACGGCGGAACACATTCGCATCTGGCGATACCAGTCGCGTTGATGCAGATTGCGTTCTTACCGCAAGGAATCAGTAAACATGGATCAGGAACGTTGACCGGTAGCGCTGTGGAAAGGTTAATAATTCCATAAGTTGTCTCTAACCAATGGACAATCAATGTAAGCAAATGGAACAGATATTCGAAGGCAACTCACATGCACAGCTTTGATAAGGATTTCCAACAGTGTGCTCAGGACAGTAACAAGGTGGTATTCTATTCGCGTCACATCTTGCGCCAAGCCCACAAGGATTAGGTTCACATTGGTCTGACTTTGGCACGCATCCTCTGATGGTGTTGGGACTTTCAATGTACCCAGGCAAGCACGTGCACTTGGAAAGTCCGCTGGAAAGGATAGTGCACTGAGTGTTGGGTCCACAAGGTGAAGGCTCGCAGGGATTGCTGGGTAGCACGCATGGAGATTCAGGAGGAGATCCCTCATATCCTGGCAGGCAGAAACACCTGACCTGCCCTGCCACCACGCGGCAACCAGAGTTTATTCCGCATGGATTGCCGTGGCACATGTCACCGTCTGGAACTGAATGATCATTGCCATTGAAAGCTAACGTTCTCTAATCTTCAGAAGTGAAATAACGATTCAACTCTTGTACCTCAAATCCGCAAAATAATTAAGCCACTTACTGCACTGTTCGAACGGATTTCCAGTCAAGCCTTTTGGACAGAAGCACACCGGATTGCCATTGTCATTCTCGCACATCGCGTCCAAGCCACAAGGATTCGGAACGCAAGGATCTGAGGATATTGTTGTGCAACCTAGCAAAGGATTACCCTCGTAACCTGGCAAGCATTTGCATTGTGGTTGATGGTTCACTGGCAAACAGCTAGCGTTCTCTCCGCAGTCACTTTCAAGGCAAGGATCAATGCACAGTCTGTTTTGGCGGTCGCAATACTTGCTCGGTGGACAGTCATCGTTGTAGTGGCAGATATTCTTGCCACTCTCATCTACAAAGAAAAATAATGATTGTTTACAACCCAAATAAATCCAAGTAAATACCTTCACTTCCATACTGTAATCAATATATGAAGAAACCGAAGAAATACAAATTTTTAATATACAATTAATTACGATTATGTATACAAATATTTACAAGGCCACAATTTTGACAAAGATTACATATTAACACGTTGAATGCCATGGAGGTCACCGATGACCTCAAATCAAATTACTATAGTATATTATAAACAATGCTTATAATATGTGGCGACATTGAGTAAGATCAGCAATAATAATAGCAATTCAATCAAATGGTTCAATATTATATTCTTCTCATTTTGCGCATTTTCCTCTATGAAATCGTGCGGCGTTCAACGCGTTAACCATCAAATACTAAATTCTGTGCATTCGGAAGTCATCGTATCAATGGAATAATTACCAAGAGCACAATAGAGGAATCCGTTCCCGTGATAGCCCTCGTTGCAGCTGCACTCGGCCCGATGGTTCGAGTTCACGCAGACCGCGTTCTTGACGCACGGGTTCCGGTGGAGGCAGGGTTCCTGGCAAGTGGCCGCGATGCACGCCGTGGTCAACGGGCAATCTTTGTCGCTAGTGCAACCCGCTAAAGAAAGATTGAGGAAGCCCGTATAGCCCCGAGAAAAGTGTGCACAGGTAGGAAACAAGAAAAGAGTCGCGGGTTGCGTGAGTTTGCGTGCGAAGACGCTGCTCAGGCGGATCAGCTTGTATGAAACAACGGTCGGTGCGCGACGATTCACATCCGCGACGAGGGATTCGACAACTAAACGCAACTAATACGCTAAGGAACTTGCGAGAGAGAAAATCTATCATGAACATTCGAGGGTTCGAGGCGACTATTGACAGCTAAAATCCAAGACTGAAGGATCGAAAGTAAAAATCGTGTAGGATAGACAGTTCGAGTGCGCTAAAGTAAAATCAAAATTCCAACAAATCACACTTGTAGATGCGCGCAACATATGTACAGTATGTATGTACATATTTACAAATTGAATCGACCGTGCGCTGTAAAGAGAGAAACGGACAAGTGGAGGATTCGAGCGTTCGTTCTTGTACGAACCTTTCACGCATGTGTTGGACGCCGGATCGCACTGCATGCCGGGTGGACAATAAGGACAACTCGTATCGTTCAGTAGATCTGAAAATTTTGGTGAACGTTCAATCGAGTTCGTCGTGCAGACATTGATGAGTAAGGTTTCAATTGATATTCTACCTTTTACACAGACTGGTCTGTGATCCTGAACGTGGCAAACTTCGACGAAGTCGCAGGGGTTCTCCACGGTGCAAGGGTTCAAGCACTGTTGGTTGATGCAGGCCAGTTGAGAGAGACAGTCGTCGTGGGTTCTGCACTTGGTATCTGGTAAAAGAAGAGAATATTAAGACCTCGAAATAACGATCCTTCGTTTCGTAACGCTACAAACTATTAACGAGTTCGTATAATCGTTTATTCGAATAGGATTTATCCAATGATTCCTCTAAATCACTATAACACATGTTCGAACAAATATCTTTTTTTTAAAAAAAAAAGAAAGTGCGTAATACTAAACACAGAAAACACATTAATCTAATTCCTAAAACATATAATGGTTTTCGTGTTACTTGTGTAAAAGCCCAGAAGTAGTCGTTAGTGCGTTCACTTTGGAAGGAAACGATTAGCTGCGTCGCTCTAGATTCTTTGCGTTTAAGATTGAAATGAAGATAAGGGTATCCTTGGCAGCTGATAATTTCCTTCGCGAGCAGACGTCACAGAAGAATTACAATTAATTGTTATGTATAGATAAGCGAGAAGAGTTCGTGCAGAGGCACATTAATGTACAGCATGCAAAGAGCGCTAATGCAGCAGGTCCATGTCAGCGCTGGATTGCAGCAGTGCGTTGTAATTCTACGTCAGGTATACTATTCGTGTGGGATGTTCACCCGCTTGTGTTCCCGGGATGATCCCATGATCGAGACCGAACAACTCGAAGGGTCTGTGGTACAAGCAACAACTCTCCAGAATTGGTTGCCACCAATTTTCATCTGGATACGACGAAGACACACTAGAGACACGTTTCCGTGGAGACACAATTTTGGTGAACACGAGAACATTTATAAGACTCCCGACAAGAATGATCTTTACCTGGGAGAACGTTACAATTAGGTGTACTCTGGTCGACTGTTAGGTTGAAGCACACGGGCCGATCACTCGGTACGCCGCATTTAGACTTATCTGAGCATGAAGCGTTGCTTTTACAAGAATTCGGGCACGAGCCATTCACGCAAGTTTCGCATTCTAAAATGGGCTCTGTTGTTTCAGGTTGTTCTGTGAAGTATTGTTGGATTGTTGAAGATTCTTCGGTAGAGTGCTGTTCAGTTGATATAGTGTGTTCTGTGGTGTATTCTTTGGTTGTTGAGACTTGTTCTGTAGAGTGTAATTCAGTTGTAGGTGCCTCTGTAATGACTTGCTCGGAAGTTGATGATTCTGTGGTAAACTGTGTAGTTGGTGAAAAATCAACAGTGGACTGCTGCTCAGTTGTAGTGGATTGTCCTTCGGTTGTTAAGTGTGTAATGTACTGTGCAGTTGTTGTATGTTGTTCTGTGGTACACTGTTCAGTTGTACTATATTGTTCTGTAGTGTACTGTTCAGTTGTTGAATGTTGTTTAGGTGTACTATATTGTTCTGTAGTGTAATGTTCAGTGGTTGAATGTTGTTCAGGTGTACTATATTGTTCTGTAGTGTAATGTTCAGTTGATGAATGTTGTTCAGGCGTACTATATTGTTCTGTAGTGTGCTGTTCAGTTGTTGAATGTTGTTCTGTAGTGTATTGTTCAGTTGTTGAATATTGTTCAGGTGTACTATATTGTTCTGTAGTGTGCTGTTCAGTTGTTGAATG